AAAAAATCCTCAACTTTTGTTCAATTCTTGACTTTCTGTCAATACACATTGTATGTCTCATATTTTAGTGTAGTTGATTATTATGCAATTTAAATGGCATAAACAGATTCATGAATGTGGAAAATTATTATGAAACAAATAGTACGAGAGGCCTGAGATGGCTAATTCTGCAATATTTCTCAAAATAATTGAATGAAATTCCATTAAAATGTAAACCTACAAACAACTTAAGATTTTTTGAAGGATGACTGAATTTTACAGATGATCAAAAATGATTTTTGGGAGCCGAACCATCACCACTATACATTAACAACTGTTTTACAAATAGGATATGGACTGTAAGGAAGTCAAACACCAAGAGCCAACACAACGAATATCCATGCACACATTGTAAACTTGAGGAAATACTATGAATATTGGTATTTATATAATTTATTCTGGCACACATTCACACAATCAAATGTGGAACAATTCAGTGCTGTGCAATTAGATTGCATTTATTTTTATTCTTTTTTTGAATACCTGAAATAAATTTATGATTATGACATGTATCATGTATTAACATTATCTATGACTTCCCAGATAACATGCTATTACGCATTAAATGAAACAATAAGAGGTTCCATTCACAGTAAGTGAATTGGTAACAGGATCTTGTTACACTAATAGAGGGGTTTCATTCACTAATTACAGGTATTACTGTGTTACAGGTGTTTAATGAGATCTTCTCAGAAATATAGTGAATTATATTGGCCATTCTTGGGAAATGAAATTCTACAAGTTAATATTTCCTTCATCAATAATTTACATGCATGAACACTATCATGGATCTTATGTTTATACATAACATAGCAAACAATTGTCTTTTAAGTAAACAATGACAATTTTGAGATAATTAAGGTGTTCTAATTACATAGATTTTACTATATTATCATTACATGGTGTTTCTAAGTGAGAGAAGAGTTTGACCCATCTGAAGGGAGTGTCTGACTATCTTAGACTTAGGGGCTGCACCCCTGTCTTTATTTAGCACACTGTTACTCGTCAATATACATAATTTCTTGTAGTAATTTTATCTACATTGAGGGAATTTGATTGGGCATGTATAAAAATGTATACACTGCACTAGTACTTAACCTTTCTTCACTGAGAAATTCATGTACATACTAGTATACTCTTATAATCAAGTATTTATCAAATGACTTCTGCGCTGTGCAGTACATAGATTTCCAAAGACATGTACAGACTGCAGAGTGCAGAGTACTAATACACTGAAAAACTTGTGATCAATCGAATTCCTTCAATGCTTACAAGTACATATTAATCTGCCTTCTATCTTATTTTTGTTAAACATATTCACATGTGACATTACATTTTTCATCCAGATTCTGCAAATATAAACTTAGCAAACGTAAATGTTATCTTTCTACCATCAGAAGATGGTAGTGCTACAGTATTGAATTCTTTATTATTACCTCTTAACCCTTTCCTGCCAAATCACGCCAATAGGCATGAACATATGACCAAAAATGACCTTGAAGTTGGTAGAGTAAATCAAACAGCATAACACAATACTAATTCTTTTATCGTGCAACATTCTTCTCTTTAAATCATATACCGTAGAATAGATTGGGTTAATTTGGCGCTTCTCGAATTTGGCAATTTTGCCATTTTTGAGGGTTATTTAATTTGGCGGACACTAGGGCTTGGACATTGCTCTGGCACCACAACTTCTATATACACTAAAACTAAAATTGTAACACTCATTCCTTCAATTGAACTACTATCTTGTAATTTATTTTTAAAACAATTCCCCTGAGCCAATCGGAACATGTTCTGATTATCACTCTTCTTATCCTTTTCAGATTTGTTAAAACTGTTAAACACACCAGACAAAATTCCCGGGGATCCTTCTAAATTTTGGCGAAGATGTAAATTGGCGTTTTTTTCTATTTCGTCAAATTAATCCAATCTACAGTAGTTGCTAAAAGACATTGAAATTGTTTGAAACAACCAGAATTTTGCTTAGATAGGCTCTAGGCAGGAAAGGGTTAACTATAAGAATTACAAAGTTATGAAAGCTGTTCAATCATGTCTATAATTCGTTTTGTATGAAGTAGACTAGACTCTTTATTTTTCAAGTGAGGCTCGGCTCTTCATGAACACTTAGTGGATGATTGGCAGAACTCACAATGGAGAGATCATTGTTCTTTCAACCAAATAACATATGAGCTTACCACTCATCATTCCATATTGGTTATTAAAAAGGCCATTCAACGTTACACCTAATATTCTAATATCCACATGCACGATTCATTCAATTTACAAAGTTATTTGTTTGAGCCTCTATAGCCTTGTATATGGTGGAAAACTCAATGGCTATTATCAACCAAGTTGGTTACAGGTCCTCACAGTAAAGAACCTCAAACATGGATGCTGTGACAAAGGTTCCTTTTGTCTCTTGAGAAACATGATGACTGGCAACATTCTGTTAAATTTGGGCCAGTATAGCAGTATTTCTAGTATTGAATAATAATTTCCCTTTAATGGGAAAATTATTTCTGAGTTGCCTCTTAAGATGCAGACCTACTTCCGATTACCAATTACTACTATTGGTTGAAATCTTACAGTTGAAAATAAGCTGGACTAGTGGTTTTTAGATGAAATTCAGCTTTTTTCAACTGCAAGATTTCAATTCTCAAGTAGTTGTGGGGGCGATTTAAAAAATCATTTATGAGGGTATTACTATGCAAGCAGAAATGATTCCGATTTTCATCATTAAATATTCAAAATTTAGTGAAATATTTGAAATCTAAAAATGTAGTTTTAAAAATTGTTGATCAAATTTGAAATTTTAGTTTTCTTTGAAAAGTTGGGTAGATTCCCCTTATAGCTAATAGAGACTATGTTAAAAATCATGAATAGGGAAATACATTTTCTTGTATTGGACAGAGATAATATTTTCTTTTACTGAACATATATTCGATTGTAAATTATCAAAATTCAGAGAGGTTTAATGAAAATTGATCTTTCCCTAATTACTCTATTAATGGATATTGAAGTTGAAACAAACTTTGCTCTACAACGTTATTTGACCCAAATTAGCCACTTGGTGGTGAAACTGGTAACCAACTACTAACACCTTAGTAATTAAATAGTAACACAAAAATGAACTACTTGTGGACCCTGTGCTCATAGCGAGTTCTGAAAGCATACTTTTCCATATATTCAATGAAATGTAATTTTGAAGAATACCCAATCCCAATGGCTCACTGTGTGGCCAAAGCCAATATAAACTGCATATTAATACCAGACTGGATACTTCAACCATTTGCCAGGATGCATGTTCAGAATTTCGCTGCATTCATCAATTGAGTCACATGTTATTTTCAAACAGGAATCACTCCTTCCCCACATTGTCTATATCTTCCAGTTTTGTACAAAGAGTGCACTTATGTGCCTAGAAAAGACTGGCGAGAAGATTTGTTTTTCTGAATTTTCACGGAATTTTCTTGTTTTTTATACATTTTATCTCAGTCTTCTCTACATTCTTTTCTAGGTACATTAGTGCACTCATTGTGCAAAAGTGAGAGATGTAGACATTGTGGGGAAGAAGTGATTCAAATTTGAAAAACAACAGGTGACCCTATTGAAAGTTGCAGCAAAGTTCCGAACATGCACCTGACCTTAACGAAGGTCTGCATCTTTAAAGGTGCTACAAATGTTTTAGTTAATACTTACACTACAGTCTACAGCACAGGGAATTGTCTGGTGCATATTTCTAAATGTCTATATCCATTTGTTCCAACTGTCACTGGTTCCACTATACAATGTCAAAAAGTTCCAAAATATGGAATGATATAATCCAAATGTCAATGTTTTATACATTGCCTTCACTTTTTCTAATAATGTCAGTTCATATCATCTTAATAGATCACTTTGCTTGCATAATCCATATGTCATAAGACATTTATAGTTCAGTATTTTCCTTATCATAGTGGTGACATGACATTTTATGGTGCAGTCCATAGTTATCCTTTATTGTCAAAAATGTTGAAATTGATGTTTTATCCAAGAAATGTCTATCCAGTAGTTTTCTCTAACACATGTATGGTGATTCACTGAATTGTGATGACTTCTATGTATGACAGATTCCAATTATCTAGACAGTATTTCACATAATATGTGCATTACCAGGGTATATGGGGAAATATATCACATACAATCACCTTTAATTCTGTCAGATAGGGTGCTGTCAGCACCAGCTTAGAGATTTATTGGAATACTCGTTTCACATGGAACATGTATGATTAAGTGTATTGAGGGACAAGAAAACTGAATCATGCATACAGACAAAACCAGTGGAGATGTGGACAGATCCAAATAAGTTTTACCTTGCTTATTATCTTTAAATCATTCTTATTTTTCTTATTTTGTGTGACCCTAATGTCCCCAAGGTAACCCAAATATTTAGTCGAGATTTGACATTTTTGTCCACAAACAGCAGTCATTTTTACATGGCACGTAATTCTTTATTTCCCAGAATGCATTTGAGGAAATGGTGTAAAGTGAAGAACAAATGTGTATTGCTACAAAGTAGCATTTATTTCATATATCAATAGAAAAATATAATAACAATCTTTTATTAGAAATCTATAAATAACATACAAAATATATAATAATTCTTATTTTAAATAAAAAATATACTATTTATATTATAGCAGTGAGATGCAGGGGAGTCAGATATAATCTTCCTCAACCACTGTATGATAGAAACCTTAAGCCAATGATGCGTAAAATCCAAAAATCAATTTTGTTGTTGAAAAGCCAAAATGTATATGGAGTAAAAAGATGTATCACAGATATGGTCACGAACAGCTTGTTTTGAAACAATTGGCTTAAAGTTTACACTGTCAATCGACACGACAGCAATGGTAACATATTAATTTGACATAAGATAGCACACTGATAGATTTGACTAGAGAAATGATGTTACATACTCCCTTTGCTTGGCCTGGTGAACCTTGAATCGGCGATTCCCTGAAAACAGAAACAGCAAGTTTACTATGTGCTGCATCATTGAGACAGTCAACATGTTAATGTGCTGTTTTTATTGTCACTAACCATCATTTTTTGCTTATTGAGGTTTAAGTAAATAAGTGACTTTCATAAAAATAGAGTTCAAGGTGACATTTTAACAAATCAAATGTTACATTCAGTTCCAATTACTTAATAAAAAGCTAGACTATGTGCAACAGATTAGCTCAATTATGAGCCTATGATCAACAGTTAATTGTAGCTAAACAACGATGCTATATTCTGATTGCCTTTTTCACATCTGTTTATACTAATTAGTAATCAATTTCAAATTCAAGCTGTTTCTACAAGCAGTACATAATAAGGCAAAACAGGTAGGGTTTTCCAGCTCATTAACTTTGATCTTTAACATGTAGTTGATGATTTAATAAGCATTCTCCCCAAAATTTGTTGAAAACACAGTTACAAAATGCTGACAAATTTCCCAAAATATGCCAATTTTTCAATGTTCATGTACAATATGGGTTCAGTTTTTAAGTGAGTGCCTATTTTCTAAATCTTGAGATGGTGCAGCACCCACCTGCTTAAGTTCTGGGAAGATAACTAAAATGTATATGTAAATAACTTACCATCCTGTTATAGAATTTAAGGCACTGCCTCCAACTGGAACTCTTGAAACAATCACCGACATATTCTTGGGGAGCAGCACTGAGTCCTCCTTAAACACTGGAACATTAGAAAATATTAATATAAATATATAATATACAAGATAAATAATATACAAGTGTCAACTGTCAAATGGCATTTCCCCCCCTCCCCCTATGAAGCATAAACTAACAACTATTTGTTGTCATACAAACTATAAATGATAAGCATAAACTATGGTCCTATAATCTTTAATACTATTTTCATCCAAACTACAATCCATATTGCTATTTCTAAATGTATATGACATGTATTGATATCCTTGCCATTTAATGTTATGATAAGGGAGACACATACGATTTGACACCCTGTATTTTAAAGATTGGGTCTACCAATCAATGTTCCCTTTTCATAAACTTGACAAGATAACTACTATTATGGGGACAATGTTCAACTGATAACATGCCAGTCTTGAACATCAAAACTTCTTTCTATAGGCATATGCACTCACCTTGTTTCGTCTGGGCATTGATCACCTCCAAGTCAAACTCTGAACTCTTCGCAAAGTTCTTCTGCTGACATATGGCCTTCTTTAAGTCACCCAAAGATATATGCAGGCCATCAAACGTCACAGTATCATAATCTGTACTGCTCTTGAACTTATAATGTACACAACTCATCTTTTAAGATTTACTAAACCCTAAATGTGAAGTGTTATGTAAGAGCAAGCTAAGGAAACATATATAAAAAAAAATAATGAAAGAGTATGTCTCTTATTTTCAGCCTCAAACTTCCATTGTTATTCTAATGTTGCAGCTCTAGAATCTCCCAAAAGTAATAATGTTTATAGTTCCTTTAGTATTCCCGATTCAGGCAATGTCAATGTTACTGTCTGATATTAATATAGAGTAGGTAGCACGTCTGATGGTGGGTTGAGTGTTGGTTCAGGCTCAGCAGGCCATCTCTTGTGCTCCTGAAAGTAAAAGGAACAATTCTATACTCTAAGTATTTAATGAAGGTCTTATATTTATAATGATAGGCAGACATAAGAGGAAATTTTTGAAATAGAGGCTAAAATTTATGAACTCAAAGAGGACGAGAAGGTAATGTCATCCATGTAAAGTCCATTCTAATGTTTTATTTTCATCAATAAAACCTAAAAAACAACAATGTTGTAATAAATGGAAAAATACATTCATATTATACACACATGACAGTTGTATAGCTTTGATTGCATGTTCTTTGAATCTAAAGAAAGAAGTTATCCCCTACCCCTATCACCTGCTTCATAATCATGGCGACTGAAAGTGAAAAACTGAAAATGGCTGCTTACTCTAGATCTCTAAATGTTACCTACATAACTGTCCACCATTTGGGAAAGTCTAAGTTATCTTCTTTTATTGGTTGAGTGGATATTTTGCACCAAGAAACCAAAATGGTGGTTTAGATGAAATTCATGAAGTATGATTCAAAATATCTAAAGGTACGGCTTTTTGTTAACGTTCATTTAGAAATCTCTGGAGAGTTTTAGAAGCAGTTTCTGAAATCCTGTTCTACTATTTTTAATTCTTGGAAGAAAATAATCATTCCACCGATAGAGGAAGCCTATTTCAAAATCAAGAATTGTGACTCTTGCAATGCTATTTATTTCTATTAAAGCAAAATAGTCTTTCTGTCAGTGTATTGCTTTTTTAGTATACAGTCTCTCATTTTAGCAGCGTTTGGATCTTCAGCAGTGAGAACACGTAAATTTCCATGGATTTCAAATGGATTTCAAAGTCTACACTCTGTTAAGCATGATAAAAGGCAAGAAGTTTAGTTAGAAATAAAAGAGTTATCTCATGAATGGGACCCTTACATAGCTCCTAAAAGGTAGAAGACACTAAATGGTGTAACATCATAAGCTGAATTTTGTCCACATAGAGCATGTGCACAATACTAAAGACATGTAAAATTGAACTGTCAAAAGAACTGAAATATACTTACCAGCTCGCCTCTTCCGGAAGTTATGATACGTTATGGTGTAACTACGGTAATTAATTTTAAAATATTGAAAAAATCACAAAATACAAGTTCTGAGGTATATATCGCCATTCTTAAGCGAATTAGCCCATACTATGACTATATATTCGCACCCCCATATACAGATATATATAAACTTCATCTTCACAATAAATTGAGCTTCTTTCAAATTTCCATTTTTTGAGATAAGTGCCAGTTGCAGTGCGCGAAATAGACGTCCGACATCGGCCATTGGCCTGACAAAATTATAGATGGCTTGTTTTGATAAAAACACCCAGACATTTTGGCCTGCCAGACATTTGTGGCATTCGTTAGATTGCCCATGAATAGAACCCACATTTCAGTCCGGAAATCCTCCGAATTCCCCGCGATTTCGGCTTATTCCATGACTTTTGTTGAAGATTTAAAAAAATTTCAATTATTTTTGTTTTCATACTGAAGCCCAAGATATAACGTGACTTTTGATTGGCTGTTGTTGTTTGTTGAAATTACGGTGATTTTGATTGGCTATGGATGACTCATTTCTTCATCGTCGTTCGCAAATCGAGTGCATTATCAGTATGCCGGATGTAGAAAAGAAATTGAAAAATCGAGCCGGCATCTAAGTCCAAAAAGTCGGCAGTTTGGAAGTATTTTGGGACTCCGATATCACAAGGTAAACGAATTGGTGATAGTTCACCATGCAGACAATGTGAAATGCCGATCACATTCACGGCAGATCCTTTATATTCGATTTTAATTGACGTATTTCTGAATATGATTTTGAAAAGTGAAACTGAAAGTGAAACTGTCATCATCAGACATTGTATCATTTTTAATGTTCTGTCCCGTCCTGTCTCGAAAGTATCGTGTCCCGAGACCATTTGTACCGTTCCGTACCGTACCGAAATTTATTTGGACCGTGACACCTCCAATATATACCTTGAAATTTAGTCTGTTAGTGGAGTCTGTGTACATAGTATGTGTTTTTGAATACCTTGAAGCTTCTGAGAGCAATTCTAAACCGACCAAAATCAGTACAATTTAGTTTGATCAATATGTACATGTTCCTCATGTTTTTGTAAGGTGAATCTAGGGGGGAATCAACACACCCAGGCTGTTGGTTAAGTCATCAAGTACAGTATAGTGAATGATACATGACATGCAATGGAATTAGTTTTACTTTGTTAATATTGTACTAAACTAAATCTCATTTTAGAGTGGTTGTGGAGAAATATGGAAAATGAAATTTTTGGCCAGAGAAGTAAGAAACAGGCTGCAAAAAATTGGCCTGAGAAAAAATGATATGGCTGGTTAAAATCTGGCTGGCCTGCCAAAATGTCTAGGTTAAAAAAATCCTTATTTCACGCACTGCAGTTGAGGTTAATGGCTTTTATACTTACATTAATGTATGGAGCACTTAAAATGTACTTAGAATCGTATAAATAGCTCTATTCTGTGAGATTTATTTTTGTTTTTATTTTTACATTTTTCTCACCTCATAATTGAAGAGCTCCGCTGTTGATTTACATTCAGTTACACGTATTTCCTTTAAAATTCGCCATGATTGGAACAAATGATGGTTGGTTTATGTTTTATTCATTTAGTTTGTATTTGAATCTAGCTACTTAAACACAAAACATGTCTTCGTGTTATGCTAAAGAGCAAAGATCGCGAATTCTAGGTGAAGCCAATTATTTTGCACAAGTCATATCCTGATTGCATCATAGTTACTTTGTACTAGTCACATCCTGATTGCATCAGCCAATTCACGTGATTTACAGTTTACACATGGTTTCAATATACATGTTATACTACTTCCGGGTAGGGTAGTGTTTTTTATACTTTAAAAACGAAGCCATTTCGATCAGTTTTTATAATCTTTGGTAGAACTGAGAGGTATTGCAATACATATTTAAATTAATACACATGAGTGTATTTGATGAACTCTCAAAAAATAAAACCCACAATAATATATTTTTTATTCACAATTTCATGTCATTGTTTCTAACAAGTCGCCTCTTTCTCTCTTTTCTTTATTTTTGTCAACAGTCAAAATCGGAATTTAAACTTGGTTTCTTTACAAGCTCTGCTTCTGTAAATACTAAATAACATGAAAAATGTTAAACCTTACATCCTACACTTATTTGATATGAAATAGGCGATCATTGATATCATTTTTGTGCTGTTAAGTGTGGATCTTTTAATTTTTTAGTTAAACTTGATCGCTGATCTCTGTCGATGTGACGTCACGCATTAAGTATGCACGCATGGGCAGTACAATACATAAGGCAATATGGCGTCTTAGGCCTATACATGAGCCAGAATGGAGGTCTGCAAGTTGAAATGAATGTGTTTGTTTATGCATCAATCTATCACACATATAATCCAGACAATCTTTCAAATCATATACTTAACATTGTAATGGATTTATTTATTTTGTGAGCTAACGTTCCCTTTAATTTTTATTGGTGAAGCAATGATTTTACCTAAAATGAGTCCCTGTCTTTGCATAGTGATATTTAAAAATCGAGAAGCAAAACCTATGTTGAATATACTGTGTATTTATGAAGTTTATATAGCCTAGGGGAACTCAAAAATATTGTTATTATATCGGCAAATTCGCTCGAAAATGGTTGTACACCCTAGAAATTGAATGTTGTTGATTTTTTCAATATTTTAAAATTAATTACCGTAGTTACACCATAAATGTATCATAACTTCCGGTAGAGGCGAGCTGGTGAGTAATTTCTATTATTTTGACAGTTCAATTTTACATGTCTTTAGTATTGTGCACATGCTCTATGTGGACAAAATTCAGCTTATAGTGTTACACCATTTAGTGTCTTCTACCTTTTAGGAGCCATGTAAGGGTCCCATTCATTAGACAACTCTTTTATTTCTAACTAAACTTCTTGCCTTTTATCATGCTTAACAGAGTGTAGTCATCTCATCAGTTCTTTCCTCATTCTCGCCTATATTTTCAAACTGGATGTATTACAACCCTCCATTTGGGCATTAAAATTAAGTGCTTGGACAGAGAAAGGCCAATGACATAGGAAACATTTGGGGATATATTAGTAATTTAGGGCAAAGGGGTGTAACGTAGACATGTCGGGTAATGTCGACATAAGAAATCAGTCGTCACTTATAAAAATTTAGAATTCAGTTTTCTGTCATGTTTTATTTCTGAAAAAATCTTGTGAGATCTCGATCCATGCGAGAAAAAAAACTTGGCTTCCCCTTGATTAAAAATTAGAGCAAATAAACTACTAGGTGTTGAGGTTATCCCAAATTGGTGCCGACATTATACCTCTTCGCCCTAGACCCAAACAATATTATGGGGAGACATGCGTCGAACTGCAGTGTAAGGGGCTACATGGGACATTGGTCCACTTCTACCATGGGGTTATTTCAAAAATGGCTGATAATTCATATTTCAGGGGTCAGCCATCTTGGATTAAAATCTCACCCGTTGGATATTTCAAATTATTTTTAGAATTTTTCAGAAAAACATGGTGGACTTTGTGAATCGGAAATTGGAGCCAATGTAAAAATGGCTCCATGATGAAATAACCTCATATACATCGAAATTTGATGCATCTCCTCTAGGCCTATACACCAGGCACAAAGGCTTTGAAAGAAGCGAGTCCAGGACATGAGAAATTTGATAAAGGTTGACTTCCTTTGTAACTTCAACATATGGCCCTCATCCAAATGGACGTTTGACAAAAAATATAGTTGCAAATGATTCCTAACTGAAGAGTAGAAGAGGACACTTTTCAGAGACATTTAAAATTGAATGTTACCCCAAAACTGTTATTTTTTCAAAAAAATCATAAAAAATGACGAAAATCAAAAATATGTTGTGAACTTACCACTGATTACACAGAGAAGAATAAATTCCTTTTCCCTATTTTGGCGCTCATCTGAACCTTGAAGTCATGGTTTATCGATGGGCTGGCTTCATTTTCGACTATATCTTGTAAGCGTTGAGAGTTTGTTGCCAAATTTTATCAAACTCCGTCAATTATTTGTTCTATCTGTGGGGTTTACACTTGTGATTCATGGACTCTCTCGCTAAATCTCGCTAAATCTCGCAAAACAACCGGATGACATCATCATTCAAAATCACTGGCGGAAATCTGGTAAGTTTCATTTCAAATTTAATTCACGAAGAAAGTGTTAATCCTACAAGTATCCAAGTGATACAGATAGAAAGATAGTATATTGAATGATTGCTATTCGAAGGTTACAGTACATCGATGAATGCATTACAGAGATATTTCAATTTCAAATGTTTGTTTACTGTCATTTTTCAATTTCACAATTTCAATCATCATCAAATTCCATTGAAGTTTCAATGAAATATATCTGAAAGTCCTTTATCATTAATTTATGTTCATTATGATTAGGTTTTTCAGATATGTTCCTCTTCAATCATATCTCATCTTGATCTTGCAATCTATCACCCAGCTCTATCGCAGTTTCTGACACCATGGGTGTATCGACTGGGGGGAGGGGGTGTATAAGGGCTGAAGGTTATCCCGTTCCCGGACTATAGTCCTGCACTGATCGCATTCATTTGCCTGTACGATTACAACTTGGGAGAATTATCTACGCCCCTTACACTTAAGATACCTACCTCAATGCATTATAGAACTCAAGATGTAACTTCTAATATATTGGAACCGCCGATTGTCTGGGTATATCGGCAGAACGAGAACATTTTCTCTTTTTCATCGAGAGAGATTCCATCACTTTTCAAAATGGCGGTTGGATTTAAACGGGGAATCCCCCGTTTGGCTGTCCCGGATGTAGCCCGGAAGTACCAATATGGAGGAATTTGACGGTTGAAAAAGGTTAAATGTTACACGCAAATATTGCGATCAAAAACGAAAATGTCTTCGTTCTGCCGATAAACCCAGACAATTGTGGATTCAACTACACGAAAAGAATGCTAAATTACCAAGGAATCTATTGAAGTAGGTATCTGAAGTGTAAGATCAGTAAAAAATTCTCCCATGTTGTAATCGCACAGGCAAAAGATTGAGATGTTCACAGGACCATAGTCCGGGAACGGGATAAGCTGAAGGGATTAGGAGATCAAAATTCATATACCTAATATTCATCTTCAGTCCTGAGCTTAGTAAACTGTAAGTAAAAGTAAGTTGTTATGAAGTAGATGGGAAACAGAGGCGTTGCAAGCAATTGTCAAGGGTGAGGAGTGATTTTTTGGGTTGTATCATTGCGAGTGAAGGAAGCCCCAATAAGGGGGGATACAAAGCATTTCAAACTATGATTTGTTTATTAAGGCCAGGGCCGTGAATTCGTACGATCCCCAATCCAATCCGGATAAATTTTATCTTTTTGGATAAATCTTGGATTACTAATCCGATAAATATTTGATCCAAGGATTATGAGAGGGAATCCCCAAGATTTATCCAATTTGCATTGGAACTCAGATAAAATTTATCCAAAAAGTAATCCACCTCAAGAGGTGGATTGAGATTTATCCTGAGATAAATCTCAGGATTGTACGAATTCACAGATTTTTGGATTAATTCTTGGATCAATCCCACAATGCATCATTACCATGACAAAATTTATCCGGATTGGATCGCGGATCATACGAATTCACTGCCCCAGGGTGTATGTTGGGAAATTTTCTGCTTTTCTCAATTGATGATTTGCGATCACCGAATGGATTCTATCTTTTAGTGACGTCACAATTAGGCCACCCAGCTTTAGATGCTTGATTTTGAGAGATTATCTTCTATATTTCGTGCTTTATTGATTTATTTTTCAAGAAAGCATTCGATTTGACTAGATCAACATTCATGCTAAGCACATACTAAGTCTAAGATCTTACTGACATGATTTAGATAGCGGTTAAGCGCCCCCCGATTTTGACAAAAACGGGGGGCGCTTATAGGCATCGATGTTTAGTACGAATTTCACCCAAACTTCGCACATATATAGATATACTCATGATCTAGTCAAATCGGCATACCTGGTAAATATCCGACTCATGGTTTTCATAAAAGAAACGACAATATTTTTAGCTCAAAACTGACACGTGTCCGCCATTTCGTGATTCCATCATGTCTAATATCATTTCTTTATGACGTCACACCAATAAGGCGAAATACGTGACAACAGTATCCACAAACAAAATTCCTGAATTCTGACCGCAAAAGGTCAATTGAGTCACATGTTATTTTTCAAACAAGAATTACTCCTACCCTACATTGTCTACATCTTACTTAGTTTGCACAAAGCTATCTCCTGAGAGATAGCTTTGCATATGTTGATATTCCCAGTCTTCCAGGTTTGCACAAAGAGTGCACTTATGTGCCTAGAAAAGACTTGTGAGAAGATTTGTTTTGTAAAATGTATAAAAAACAAGAAAATTCAGTGAAACTGAAAATTTTCTGAATTTTTTCGCTGAATTTTCTTGTTTTTTATACACTTAATCAAAACATTCTTCTCACAAGTCTTTTCTAGGCACATAAGTTCATTCTTTGTGCAAACTAAGTAAGATGTAGACAATGTAGGGTAGGAGTAATTATTGTTTGAAAAATAACATGTGACTCAATTGAGGAATGCAGAAAATTTCCCATCATGCACTCTGACCTTAAGATAAATTTTACAAAATTCTTTTTTTCTTTTTTGTGGGGATGGGGTAGTATGTATCCAACAGACCGAATATAACCCTACTATCACACCAAACTAGTTCTCACTATGTTCTCGAAAACGGGCTTCAACTGTGTACGAACGGACTGGACCTACTAAGAACCGTTTGGGATCTATTTACAAACTTCATCGAACGTACTCGAACGGATAGGTCCTCTAGAACTTAGACAATGCTCAAAATGTTCTCGTGGTCGTCACGTTCTACAATTAGAACGAGTGACAACGTACTAACGACAAACTGGACGTACTACGAACGGAACCGTCATACTTCAATCCTACTAGGGACGTTTTCACAGCGAGTTGAACTGTCTGAGGACGTGTTGAGAACGAGGTAGAACTAGAGTTGCCACTGCATTCTTCAAAACTGGTTTTAAACTGTGTGCGAACGGAATGAACGTAGCTGCAACTTTCTAAGGTCTATTTACGAACTTTATGAACGTTCTCAGACGGGAATGTGATTTTAGAATTTTGAATTGATTCAAAATTAGATGGCGACCATACCGTTCTGTAATCAGACAGAGTTCTCAGAAATTCAAATCTGACTTAACATTGAACTAATAATATTGTGGTGACATTTTGTCATGTTAATGCCTCGTTAAAATTTATTTGATACTGTTTTGTGTAATCCATGGGCTTCATTCTATTGAATGCTCATGGTACAACACGACTAAGTGATGGATACATGTATGAACAAAAATATCAATTTAAACTTGAATTTCGAGACAAACAAACCCTTTAATGGTTGATAATATTGAACAAATATTTCACTCTATTGAGGTGAATACCTGTACATCTTTCACAAGTGATATTCCACGAAGCCCGAAGGGCAAGTGGAATATCACCTTGTGAAAGTGCTACAGGTATTCACCAAAAATAGAGTGAAATATTTGTTTTATTATATCACTGTCTAGCTAAACATCCCTAATATTATTAAGTCATAGGTTAACATTGAAATACATTGAATCTACTCGGTTCGTCTGCCATTTTGACTTACACTGAACTAAATTATTTACACTGAACGAAAACAAATTCTTTGAAAATTCCCGGGAGCGTGGGATATCGCCAGATATCTCACGGTTGTCTTATCTGATTAGCATTGCCATTGAATATCGCCAGATATCCCATGACATGTGACCCGGTTTTGACCAATCATACTGTCGCTAGCTAGATAGTGATATAATAAAGAAGAGTATTCCTTCATGTCAAAGATTTGATTATTATGTCATCACGAGAATTGATGATTTATTGAACTCTAACTTTTTATGGACGATGTTTGTTAGTTGGTGTTTGGAGTTTGATGGTCTGTAACAAATAGCAGGTGGTGTCATTTTCCATGTTAATGCCTTGTTGTTATGTTGCAGGAATGTTAGAATGTGAAGACATCCATTATTAGTATGAAGCCAAGTGTGCACTGGGGTGTATCACTGGAGCATGGATAAGTCAGTAGAGGGAAGAGCTGCAAGTTTATTTCGTGCCAATGACTTTAAAGAAGCTCAGAGATGCTATTCCTCATGTCTTGCTGCTTTATCTCCAGTAGGCCAAGAGGAATGTAGAGTCAACCTACTCTTCAATAGATCAGCTTGTTTCATGAAACTGGTAAGGCCTATTCATTTCTTTGTTCACCTGTAGGGGTTTAATGAGCAGCAAGCAACATGCGATTTTCACCAGTTTTCACAATATCGCCTGTTGTTTTTAGGGACTTTTCAACATTTCCATGTTAAATTTGTGATTTCCATTAATTTTGCCTATTGTTTTCATTTATTTAGCCTGTTGTGAGAAATTCTAGTGAAACCCCTGACTTACTTATTTCATATTATTTGTTCATCATTTCTTCACTGAATGTGTTATATATAATGTTCTGTAATATAATATCCATTATATATACTGTCCTTATTATCTCAGATTACTAATTAAATCCGATAGCTCTAGCACTATATCATGAAACCACATGTGCATATAAATAAATGTGTTATTGAATGAAGAACACCATGGTGATTGGTGCATAATATTTTGTATCAAATGCAGTATTATATTGCTTATAAGAGTTCTTTATGGTTTAATACAATGTCTTTTACAGAAGCAGTTTGAGAAAGTGGTAGAAGATTGCTCACAAAGTAAGTGACAATTCATATTTTTTACAAATGCTCAACTTTGTCTATGTGTGAATCTATCTTCCCCACATTCTATTTTAATTTTCGAATATGTGGATTTGAATTTCCTGCCACTTTAGCAGAAAACGTTTAGATTTATTGATCATAAATATAACACTACACTATAAAACACATAATCTTTGAGACTCATTGGATAGATGAAGTAAAACTTACTTAATTGCATCAATTAGAATAGATTTTTATGCATATATTAAATTTTAAAATTTTTGTGATGTCTTGATGATATTTAGTGTGTAAAAATTATTTTCAAAATTAACAATTTTCCCCTAAACTTTTCCAAGCTTTGTAATTATGTCACCACCAAAAGTGGTGACATATTGTTATGGTTATCTTAAAGCGGTTATCTGCACCCCACCAGGGCCCAATTAACCACATGTGGTTAATTGGGTCCTGGGTGAGGTTTATTGCACCCTGGTTGTGAAAATCATGCTAAATGGCAATTGTGGTTAATTGCACCCTATATTATTGTGTAATATATTTGTATATATTAATACTGTATTCAATATCCTTCTGTGCACCGGCGGATCTGGGAAAGAGGCATGGGTCTAATGTGTGCCAAAAAAAGTTAGTCACAAAAGGCGACAATAAGTGAACTTTTTTAGAGATTAAAAGGCCTTTTTGGGACATTAAAGGGCCATTTTAGGCCTTATTCAGTATAAAAGTGGGCCTTAATTTTCAAATACTTATTTTTAATAAACTTTTGGACTTAAACATTTATACTGATGCACAAAGATGGACGCCAACCTTACAATCTATGACAATGTGGACTGTTATTTGCAACCAATCTCCCTCCAAAGAGTTGATTATTTTGAAAGTGATGTATCATTTTTTTGTCAATGGTGATATGTTTTTTCTAGATCTATTGTATGACTATTATAAGTTGGTCTCCTATGATAGTCTTTTCCTGGTAGTCTTTAGTTATATGATATTATGTCCGGCTCAGATATATTTTTAATATTTCAACTATTGTCAAGGACAGTACTATTTTGGAAACTTCACATCATTAGAGGTATAAAACTTGTTATTCAACGCCCTAGAAGAAAGGAATTGATTGTAGACATTATTATCATCTGATCATGGTAGCAAATCATAAGCCGTTGCCATGGTAACAGTCATTTTGTTCCATCAAATCTTCTTATTAATGCAAAAATAAAGATTATTTTACTATATGCTTATATTAATTAAAAATAGTGCCGTCTTCCAGCAATTATTTGTGACATGTATTATTCATCATCAATGAGAACCCTAACATGGCTTATAATAATAATAGGATTTTATTAGTACTGATGCCCTTTTAGGGCCAAACGTACATCCAATATACAATTTTCAATAACAGTAACTATAGCAATAAAGTAAAGAAAATAGGATTGTATATGACATGTATGCGGAATGTTGTATACATCTTCATTGAGACTAAATGTGCATAATGTGGATTCTACCATAATATCAACTAGTATGTAATCTTTGAACCATGTGTGTATATTCTACCATTCTATTCTATTCTCATTCCTAGTATAGTATAGTATTCCTACTATGTATGCAAATTGTAAAATCATAATTTCTGTCCATCCTGTCTCATAACTATTACACACCGGAATAGCCGGACTACGGTAAAGTCAGATACTGTTGTCACAAATGGGGGACATAACCGTCGCTTCAACTGTTTAATCACTTGGTCCTCATTTCATGGGATTTTATCATCGTCAATTCTGTGCATGCATTAAGCTCTTGTGATAATGTGTCATATGAAATCCTCTTCTTGATCAAATCGAATCGTGAATCGCCACAATATAGCATCTTCAATAACGTCAATGGCAACGGAATCTGAATTTAGGTGTTCTATTAAACATACAGTTCATGAAAATCTAATTGAAGCAACGGTTATGTTCGCCATTTGTGACAACGGTATCTGACTTTACCGTCGTCAGGCTATTCCGAGGTGTATTAGATACTTTATTATACATCTGCACTTAACCTGGTTATGACTATTAGATAATTTGAGAAGTTCTTGATGGGTTTACTACTTTTTCAAGAGAATAAAAAGAGTATTGACTTTATATCATTATTATTATATTGACTATAATCTGGAAAAAATGCAACTAAAATTTTCTGCACCCATTTTAATATTAGCTAGAATATTCATTACACTGCTAGTATTTTGTATGTATTAATATGGGTTTTATATTTTAAAAAAATAATTAAGGTAGATATTGATCAATGCGAAAACATTTTTGAATAAATTTCTGTACTCATCGTACTATATATGGTTTGAATTTACATATTTATATACTTTAGAGTGTATAAAAATACATGTGCTGGTATAGCAATTTATTCAAAAATATTTATGTATCAATCTACCCAGTACATACAGGTGATAAACAATAGAGAACAATAATGTAACTAAATGGTTTGATTTATTGCAGTGCTTATACTACTTGAATACTACAGAGCTCACATGTTCATTGCAAATAATATGTAACATGGGCTGAGTACAGCATAAACAAAAAGAATTTCATTAATTCTAAATATAAAAATCATTACATGTACAGAGTCTCTACTGTCAACATCCAAACTCAGATGATTAGTGAGTGTATTTGGAACATAGAAACTACACAACAAACTCTGTCAAAAACATGTAAAAATAGACAAATAAGTGAATGTGAATACAAAACTACCAATTGGATTGAACATAATGAAGTAACATGTTGAACTGGCAATTATAAGGTGAATGTGAATTGGTTACCATAAGTGGTATGAAATATACAGAGTGAAATTGACCATGTAACATATATATTAATATACAAATACTAGTAGTTCTTGTCATAGGATAAATCAGTTATGTGATGCTTGGTTTTGGATATGCTATATATCATTCTGGAAATATGATATTTTACCAAGGACCTTCAAGGCCCTCTGTAAAATATATATATTTCCCCCAGGATATACCCCATATCCAAAACCTCCCATAAAATAACCCTCATAGTAGTATTGTAGGTAAATAACATGCAGGAATGATATCTAAAGTGAGTGGGTGATATGTATATCACCTGCTAATCATATTTATATTCAACAAATTCAGAGAGTGGACATTGTGCCTGCAGGGTATTTGGCTATAGTTATTTTACTAAGTATAGAATAAATCAGTTATTAAATGCTCGATTTTTGATGCATGATATATCCCTCACTACACACAATAAATGAACCCTCTGTCCCTCGGGTTGGTATATTGTATTTCTCTCATATATATCTTGTGTCAAAAACCTCCCATTAAATAACCTCTGTATCCTGCCCTCTGTTGAAAATACAACTTTTTACAAATTCTGTTTTATATACCTCAATCAATTTTCAAAACATTAGTGGTATTTTTGTATGTTTATGAGCGTTTGGAACAAGTGTCAGATGTAATTCATCTTGGAAAAATGGTATTATTATAAACTGATAAATATAAAGATTTATATCCTTATTTCTTATCAAACAGATTTGTCTACGATTTAATATTAGTTTAAATGTTAATTCTCAGAAGTCACATTCATAAAATTTAGCAATAATATATTTAAAATAATATACTAGTATACAACAAATATTATTTTGGTACTTATTCATACATGATATAATACACTTTTTACACATGTGCTCAAACATAATCCAATTTAGTTCCTAGTTGGAAAAGAAATTAACAGATTAAACTTCCCTTATTACTTTATCTATGCGATGCAAATACTAATAAGATTAATGTCGAAATGAGTAAACAATTTTTCTCTAAATGCACCTAGCTAAGTTAATTGTTTGATTCATTTGTAGAAGAGTCACTGCTTTGCTTAATCCTTTGAGAAAAAATATTTGCTAAATTCCAAAAATATTGAGGCTTATTTGATTCACATCATAACATTAAAAAACATTATTACACAGACTCAATTTGTTTTCCTAATATGCACCCATAATACTGAAAATAAACTTGGGTATGAGTTGTCTTGGGTACAACTTGTCTTGGGTATGACTTGACTAGGAAGCATCTGTCAGGACTATCTATCTGTCTTCTAGTAGTCTTTCGTACGACTTGGTTCTGAACAACCTGAAATAATAAGAGATGACAATAATCAAATAAAACAAAAACAACTCACCCAGGTGAGGTAGATGAAACAGAATTTTAAAAACTCCAAGGGAGTGTCTATCAAATGATATTTCATTTAAGCAAATGATTCTGACAATATTAGCCTTTCTTTCACTTTTTATGTGTTTGCTAATTGTAAATAAGCAGAAATGTATTGCGAGTTTAACTAAATCTAATGAGAAACAGATGTGACAAATCAATACATTTGTTGGGAAGATCCAGACTCACGTTTCTACCAATGAAATACTCTTCCTTTGGCGTGAACATTTTTGATATGCCTCTTCAGAATGTCAGCCCTTCCAAAGCATTTGGTGCAGATCTCACACTTGAAGGTTGGCGCTCTGTGTGTTCGTACATGGCGGTCAAGGAGCCATTTTACATTAAATGTTTTCCCACATTCCATACATTTTAATTTGGGTTCTGAAATAGAAAATTATGCATACAATAATTAGATGGAATAGGAAATTTAACTTGGTCCAAATGTATAAAGTTCTTGTTCAGAAACATAGATAATTATGTGAGTCCATTACCTAGATTATTATTTTTATGTTTACTTAGTCCAAGCTACTATTTCCTTATTTTGCTGATAATTGTACCTAAAACCTCATTGGTGATTGGATAAATATTATAAATAAATATGCTTTTGAAACTTATAATGTAGAAATATTAATTCTTTGGTTACCAGTTTTTGTTTTCTTTTGATCTTTATAATCTTCAACACAATCATCATTATCATCATCTTCATCATTATCATCATCTTCATCATTATCATCATCTTCATCATCATCTCCTGGCTCCCAATCATTTTCTTCATTTTCTTCTCTTTTTCTTTTGCACATTCTCTGAAACAATAAATTTTTTCTGTGTTGATTCATCACTCTGGTAATATATTAAATAACTAAAGTTCGTAGTTTATTGTCATTGTTTAGTTCATTGTTACTGGGGTATTGTATTGATCAATTATTAGCCATAATGTAACTGTATACTTCTATTTTGAATTTTAAATCTTGATAAAGCTATTTGGATGAATAGTGAAACGTCGAAAATAAAACATATTTTTCTGATGTTAATGAACTTAAGTTATTTAATAAATTATTGGTTATTTTTCTAAAAATAGTAGTTGATGTAGAAGTTAATAAATGGGGAGAACTTTTTATATATTGGACATATTTGTAAAGTGTGTATGCTACAAATATTTACAGTTAATTTATATTATACTCATTAAATAGATAAAAACAAAAGGGGCTTTGATTTAAAGCTCTAGTTTCAACAATGAATTCAAATAGAATACAAATTATGAAAATCGTGATCAACTCATGCCCCTACATGTACAGGGTGTTCGTAAATAAGGTGAATGGGTCAATACCCCTTATATTCCACTCATATTTGTTTGTTAATACATTGTATATCATACATTAAGTATACAGTTAAAATTCCTCCACATAAAGTACAGGGATAATATTTTTAGCACAAGTGCTCCAGGTCTGTACCCACACTTTTCAATTGCTATGGTGACCATATTTTCAACCAATCAAATGCTAGAACTAATATTTTTAATGCAACAATTTAGAAATGTCTATGGTATATGCTTACCAAATATAATGATGTTTGGAACAATACTAACGAAATACCATACCCATTCACCTTATTTACTGAACACCCTGTTATTCTTGAAATAGATCATTCATCTCTTTTCTTGCATAATTTGTTCACAGTCAGTGTGCATTTACTTGTTTACCTGTTTTCTCTCCCTCTGCCTAGGAGATGGTTCATCTACTACTGGTCTTTTTACCATCCTCTGTTCCACTGTCTGAAACAATAAATTGGTTATTTTTGCTAAAATATTTAAATGGGGAGAACTTTATACTTGTATATATTGGGCATAGTACTATTTACACATATATTACTCATAAAAACAAAAGGGGCTTTGATTTAAACCTTATATTTCAACAATTGATTTTCAAATGTAATACCTGTTTTTTTTCACCAAAGAGTGTCTCCAAAAATCTTTTATTTTCATCTTTATTATGTGCTATGAGTGTTGAGTATGCATTCTCCTGAAAATATTTTACATTATATTACAAAAATGTATCATTAAGAGTTAAAGTTAATACTCATACAACCTGACTTAAACATGTTTAATGGATAAAATCAATAATGTTCATATCATGATAAATTCTAATATGATAAATGATGTCATAATAACTACAGTGTACAGGGTAGGCCAAACATGTAAACCTTTATCAATGTAGTATCATTTGAATGGTCAGTCCGAATGATATGGAAGATCCATTTAAATCTTTTTTACTTTTACCTTTGGTTCAATTCTAGAGCTTAAGGTTTTTACATCTTCTTTGCTCTTCTGAACCATTGTCTGAAACAATAAATTATTGGTTATTTTTCTTCCTAAAGAGATGTTCCATTAATTTTTACACTCTATATCTATCTCTCCATTATTGTCTACTTGAAGAGGTTCATTTAATATTAAGTCAATTAGGATACCAAAACTTGTGTGCTTTTTTGACTCTGTAGCACAATTCTGTAGACCATTATCACCCATTTATTATTTGCATGATTGCATGAAACAGTCTGAGATACTTGAGAATTTATTGAATTTTGCTCCATATAAGTGGCATTAGGGGAGGGGCATTGTGTTTTTATTTGATTGCCTAAAAATAATAGTGATATTTAGAGGTTGCCTTTGAAGAGTTGAAATGATTAAATATATCCTGTCAGCATCAATAATGATATGAAAGCCCTTGTTAAATTTTTTTTAGTTTTATCTTAGGTTCAATTACTGTATCCTCATCATCACATTCTGGGTCTTCATCTACTGTGCCCATCACATCATGACATTCTTGGTCTTCTTCGTCTACTTCGCTCATCACATCATCTGGGTCTTAAAAATATTATACAAATACTGAATGGTCAGGCTAATAGGTTTGTTTACAATACTCTCACTTTTTCATACACCCCTCTTTCGAATAAATGCCCACTTGCCTCTTCGCCAGAATATATAAGCACAACTGCCAAAGGGAAGGGTGACTAAAAACTTTAAAGAAACCCAACAAGAAAAGCAAACTGTAAGTGTAAATCTGGAATAAGAAAAGTAGACCCTATATATCCCAAAACCATAATCTAACGTTAAAAGAAACAATTTCTAACATCCCCCTCCCCCCTCCAATCGAGAACCAATATCACAATCCAGGACCAGAACACCAAGGGACATTTCATTCATACTGAAGTCATTACAATACATGTTGAGAAGAAAAATTGAAAAAATTGGTAGCCAATACTCATAACATCAAAAATAATAATAATAAAAATGCAGGCAATTACCCCGATAAATGTGAGGTAATTTTGAGTTTTTTTTATTATTTTTGAATTTTTTTTCTCAAAGTAACCTCACAGTCATGGGGGTACTGGCAATAAACACCCAAACTCTTTCAAACAAAAGCCCTTTGCAAAATACCCCCATGGGCATTTATCAAAAACTCTTTCAAATAAGGTCCTGTGCAAAATGAACCCCAATGAGCCTATTTGCCAGAAACTCCGGTACTAAACGCCCATCCCCTTGGGATACCTTTGAGCCATTTCTTCCCCATTGCCTTTTGAAATAGGCATATAGCTTGTCAGTCTTTCAAAGTACATGCCTTATAGTCATATAACTTGACTATTGCAACATGTCTTACAAGCAGGCATTTAAAAGTACACATATTATATGCATTGGTCAATCTCACAGCTATTCATTCATTAAATAATCAGTCTATTTTGCTTGGAATGGGGGTACAAACTATTACAGTTTCAAGCATGTTTTATTGCTTTCTGACCAATGATATATTCAGACTTATTGCACTTACTACACCCGTTAAATCCTCGGGATGTTAAATTTATACACCACGTATTATTGTAACACAGGTTTTTACCTTTGTGAACCTTTCCAAGAATTGTGTTTCCTATTAGTTTTGACACATGCACCGCATTTTTGGTTTGGTCCGTCAGTTCGTATACATCTTTTTGTATTTTAACTGTATGTTTCATGTGGTCGGCGAGTTTTTGCCTATTCAATTCCTCAGGGAAGGTGTTACACATCTAAAAAACAAAATGATAACTAACAGTGGTCATCAGGTTTCAAGTTCAAGTTAGACCTTTCTTTAACATGGGAGTCAATGGGAAGGAAATGGGACTGTTTAATTGTAAAGTGTTTAGCAAGGTGTCATGAGAATGACGATTTTCAAAAATTCATCAAATTTATCATCAATTTTTGACCTATTGTAATGTGGAAAAAATTGAGAAAATTTGGAGGTATTGGAAATAAAGTCAAGTAACATATCCATCAATATTATAAGTTATTTCATCGCCGGATAAGTAAATAAAAATTCATACGTAAAGAGGCTTTAACACGTAGTTCAATGGGGGAGCTAAGGTTGCCAAACTTATGGAGGGGAGTATACCATCTGGGGGCTATTGTGACTGAGAAGCTGTTAGAATCTGACACGCATTCAAATGTTGGTGATTACATTGGCCTTTAGGTTGATTTAACAACAACCCTTCAAGTTTATACTTAATTTCCACTAACTGCTTAAACCAGAAACATGATTTTGCACTGACACCCCCCCCACACTTCATCCCATGTTCGTGATGACCAGGCATGACATACCACAGACACTGTTAACTTTCTTAATAATGTGCAGTTTGCACTCTTCTCATAGCCAATCTGGGCATCCTTTAGCTGATTGCTTATAGCCTGCGAGATGGAACTCGTCCCAAGCTGAGTCATTTCAGCATTAATAGCAGAAAAGACAAATGTTGACTCCCCCTCAAACTTCTTGTGCTTTAACCGGAGAAATGATTTGACCATTTCGTGTGTATCAGCATCTACGGTCAACTGTGCTGCCCCTTTACTAGTGAACGTTTTTTGGCCTTCTATAACCTACAAAATATTTTTAAAACATTACATTTTCTAAGACAATTACGACATTTTCTCGCTTATGAGCTGGCATTTATTTTGCACAGGGAGTTTATTTGAAATAAGATTTAATAAAAGCCCATGGGCCTTTATTAAGAGAGTTGAGTGTTTGTTGAGTTCATTACGAGTGATATTATCGATCATAAAGTTGACAAATTGCGTTCATACTCACGCAAAAGTATCATGTGCGTTGACCAATATGTGACCATTTTAGGTCATGCCTTTGCTGCATCATGTCAAGTTTGCATAACAATAAGGATACAGTAAAATTACCTTGCTTCAGTTTATAATTTAAAGGATGATTGGTGTGCACAGAGAACATTTAAGAAGCGCAACATGAGGCATGAGCATGACATGTTTTCGCCCAATGAGCAATTATTAAGAAGTCCTCCAGAAGAATGATCATGGGCCTTTATATAGAGGGGAAAATTTTTTTCACACACCCCCTTTCAAATAAACACCCATAGGCTTATCAAGGAAAAGATTTGGTAGTTAACAGCATCAAACATCATGCATTGCATCAAACGATCCAATATATAGCAACATCGTTTTAGTAATAGCAAAATAACCCTTAGAATAAAATACTAAAGAATACAGACTTACATGATACACATAGTGTCCATCGTGGTGTCTAGCATGCTGAACATGCAAAGTTTCTAAATTTATGAGTGGCCCGGCTCGGCATGCATTTGATATGGCAATGGTAGTTATAAGGAAGTTCCTTATTTGGCTTAACATTTTAATTGTTATGTTAGCCGATGTGAAAGTTGATTTAATATTTAAAACAAAGGGTGAATTGCAGTATGCCCTTAATTCCTCTGGTGTGGGCAGATTCTCCTGGTCAGCTGCTTTTTTGGCAATATTCCTTTTCCTTCCTGCAGCTCGCATGGTGTTACACCAAAGTCTGTTTTGAATTTGAAATAAGTCCCACATTTCTTGGCTTATTGAGCGTTTCTCAACATATAAAAAGCGATGGTACAACTGCAAATGCTCAAGATATGATTTTATGGTTGAAGTTTCTTTTATGTTATGAAATTTATGGTTCATAGCTGGTGTGACAAACTTCTCCTCAACGAGCTTTTGGTTGCCCGCATCATACTGATTGGTTATTCCATCACACACACATTTTAAGATGAATTTAATGTTATGTGAGGATCTTTTTGCAAGTCCATTGGTTTTAGAACCACCCGAGGGTGAAACTATCCAGGCTTCAAAGTCAGCAATTTTATCCAAATATGCTGGTTCGAGTTTGTTATTTGACACTTTTGTTTTATCTGTGGCACACTTGTGCTTATCCATCCTCAGGGAGCTTTTGCTACATTTCTGACACATCTTATATTTATACATTCTTGGATTTTCCACTCTCTTTGTTCTTGTATATTCGTGTTTGAAATCTTCTTTCCAGTTGGCTGGCAATTTATAGTTTTTGTCTTTTTGGTGTGTATTTCTGAGGTGTTTTGGCAATGATATGAAACTGCCAAAACAAGTAGGACATGTGTGCTTGCGCCTTCCAGATTTTGCAGTATGGATCCTTCTCTCTGAACTTTGGTGGAAATTGAGTTTGGGGGCACCTGAAAGTAAAATTGTACCACAAGCTAAAAACTGTTAAAAACATTTCACATGTTTGGTTTAAAAATAAAAAATGTTGTGGATCTGAAAGTATAATTGTACCACAAGCGACAAAATGCATATTGTTAATCTACATTTACAATTTCTAAACTATTAACAAATATAGATTTAATATTCATATTTGTTTTCAATAATGCATTTAAAAAAGTATATTCAACAATAAATATCATATAAATTATACTTATCTAACTCATTGTAGCATTCTTCTCACAGCTATTTTCCTCAACATGCACTTGTCTACTTAGAGTATACACTAGCTAAGAACAGAAAAAAATATGATAGGCTCTTTCAAACTACTTCCACTTCCGTGCACATGCTAAAAACTGTTAAAAACATTTCACGTGTTTGGTATAAAAATAAGAAATTTTGTGGATCTGAAAGTATAAAGTAGATATAAAATGTCAGGTATCAGAACGGGGTGGGCGGGGGTGGGCAGATTTTCTGGATTTTTTAAGGTCACATGACCATGACATCATCCGGGGGATGATGTCATGATGTCATGATGTCATGGATGTGTATGAATATGAATCATAACGAAATAACAAGTTGAAACATGTTCCACAATGGAATTTTAGATGGTATAGCCCACTAATGAGATATAATCAGCGCCCTTATAAGGTGGAATTACAAGATGGCGGGCCCGGGGCTTTCAAAATCTCTGTTTTTATATTTCTCATGAGAGATAAAGATGAGCAGGAGATAGGATGGGGATTAGGAGATAAATTAATTGGATGGGGCTTTCATCTTAAATGTGTAAAAATGTTAGATAAGATGCGCATATCATCATTGTTATCTTAAATGGGTGAGAAATGTATTTCTTGGACTGAATGTCTTTAGTAAAGTTCAAAATAATTCCCTTTCATATTATTTTAAATTTGGTATAATCCATTAACAGTGTTTACAATTCTACTTTCAATATTAACCCAAAGAATCAATAATCCTATTGAGCTGGTCAAACAAATACTGTTCGCATAAAAGGAAAGAGAACTGGATTTTGGATTAAATATGTGTACAGATGAAAAGGTTTATTTATTTAAGTCCTATATTGAATTGACCGTTGAAAAGGTTTATTTATTAAAGTCCTATATTGATCATACTACTCTACTTGATTTCAACAATAATGGTCTTTTAATGTAATAATTGAATGTTGACATTTAATTATGTCATCACAATGTTAATCCTTCATATTCTAGAACATCTTTTGTTTAATGCGTTAATCTTTTTTTCTGGAATAATCTAGAGTTTATGACATCATCATTTCATGACTTAAGTTTCTTAAAAAATACATGACATCATGCCCTAAAATATAATTTGACATCATTTTTACCATATAAAAATCTCCAAAAAGTGTGTGGACCATTTATGAACATGGTAGTAAACAACTGGTGATTTAGACATATCTGTATGCTTGTTAAGGTAAGTCCTAAATATTTGTATCATATTCTGTACATGATATTCAATAACACAACATCTAAATGCAGTAGGATCATATATGTTCCAATTTCTTTGATAAGTTGTTATATATGAATTGTATTTTATGTAAATAATTTCATAGAAATTGAGGGAATTGTATTTTATGTAAATAATTTCATAGAAATTGAGGGTAAATAATTTAGAAGAAATTGAGAGAATTTAGCATTGTGACATGGTCGAATACTTTAATTATCATGTACAAATATTCACTGATTTACAAGTATTGTTCAAAAATGGGATGGGCTTTCATGTTAGATGTGTAAAAAATTATTAGATATGATGCGCATGACATCATAATTTGAGACGTGGGGCTTTCATTGTTTACTTTATTAACATTTATTTCATTAGTTAGCATTATTATTAGCATATGTTAGCATCTGTTAGCATTATCATTAACATATGTTAGCATTATTTAGCATTAGTTTTACAAATGTTCACTGATGTTCACAAATGTTCACTGATGTTCACAAATGTTCACTGATGTTCACAAATGTTCACTGATGTTCACAAATCCCCCTCCTCCTCCTCCTCCTCCTCCTCCTCCTCCTCCTCCTCCTCCTCCTCCTCCTCCTCCTCCTCCTCCTCCTCCTCCTCCTCCTCATCCTCCTCCTCCTCCTCCTCATTCCATCCTCATCCCTATTTTCTCCTCATCCTCATCATTCCATCCTTATTTAGCATTAGTTTTACAAATGTTCACAAATGTTCACTAGTATTGTTCACAAATGTTCACTGATGTTCACAAATGTTCACAAATGTTCACTGATGTTCACAAATCCCCCTCCTCCTCCTCCTCCTCCTCATCCTCCTCCTCATTCCATCCTCATCCCTATTTTCTCCTCATCCTCATCATTCCATCCTCCTCCCCATTCTCCAATCCTCATCCCCCATCCCCCTCCTAATTCCATCTTCCTCATTCCCTCCTCTTCCTCATTCCCTGTGAACATTTGTGAACATCAGTGAACATTTGTGAACATCAGTGAACATTTGTGAACAATACTAGTGAACATTTGTGAACATTTGTAAAACTAATGCTAAATAAGGATGGAATGATGAGGATGAGGAGAAAATAGGGATGAGGATGGAATGAGGAGGAGGATGAGGAGGAGGAGGAAGAGGAGGAGGAGGAGGAGGGGGATTTGTGAACATCAGTGAACATTTGTGAACATTTGTGAACATCAGTGAACATTTGTGAACAATACTAGTGAACATTTGTGAACATTTGTAAAACTAATGCTAAATAAGGATGGAATGATGAGGATGAGGAGAAAATAGGGATGAGGATGGAATGAGGAGGAGGATGAGGAGGAGGAGGAGGAGGAGGGGGATTTGTGAACATCAGTGAACATTTGTGAACATTTGTGAACATCAGTGAACATTTGTGAACAATACTAGTGAACATTTGTGAACATTTGTAAAACTAATGCTAAATAAGGATGGAATGATGAGGATGAGGAGAAAATAGGGATGAGGATGGAATGAGGAGGAGGAGGAGGAGGATGAGGAGGAGGAGGAGGAGGAGGAGGAGGAGGAGGAGGAGGAGGAGGAGGAGGAGGAGGAGGAGGGGGATTTGTGAACATCAGTGAACATTTGTGAACATCAGTGAACATTTGTGAACATCAGTGAACATTTGTGAACATCAGTGAACATTTGTAAAACTAATGCTAAATAATGCTAACATATGTTAATGATAATGCTAACAGATGCTAACATATGCTAATAATAATGCTAACTAATGAAATAAATGTTAATAAAGTAAACAATGAAAGCCCCACGTCTCAAATTATGATGTCATGCGCATCATATCTAATAATTTTTTACACATCTAACATGAAAGCCCATCCCATTTTTGAACAATACTTGTAAATCAGTGAATATTTGTACATGATAATTAAAGTATTCGACCATGTCACAATGCTAAATTCTCTCAATTTCTTCTAAATTATTTACCCTCAATTTCTATGAAATTATTTACATAAAATACAATTCCCTCAATTTCTATGAAATTATTTACATAAAATACAATTCATATATAACAACTTATCAAAGAAATTGGAACATATATGATCCTACTGCATTTAGATGTTGTGTTATTGAATATCATGTACAGAATATGATACAAATATTTAGGACTTACCTTAACAAGCATACAGATATGTCTAAATCACCAGTTGTTTACTACCATGTTCATAAATGGTCCACACACTTTTTGGAGATTTTTATATGGTAAAAATGATGTCAAATTATATTTTAGGGCATGATGTCATGTATTTTTTAAGAAACTTAAGTCATGAAATGATGATGTCATAAACTCTAGATTATTCCAGAAAAAAAGATTAACGCATTAAACAAAAGATGTTCTAGAATATGAAGGATTAACATTGTGATGACATAATTAAATGTCAACATTCAATTATTACATTAAAAGACCATTATTGTTGAAATCAAGTAGAGTAGTATGATCAATATAGGACTTTAATAAATAAACCTTTTCAACGGTCAATTCAATATAGGACTTAAATAAATAAACCTTTTCATCTGTACACATATTTAATCCAAAATCCAGTTCTCTTTCCTTTTATGCGAACAGTATTTGTTTGACCAGCTCAATAGGATTATTGATTCTTTGGGTTAATATTGAAAGTAGAATTGTAAACACTGTTAATGGATTATACCAAATTTAAAATAATATGAAAGGGAATTATTTTGAACTTTACTAAAGACATTCAGTCCAAGAAATACATTTCTCACCCATTTAAGATAACAATGATGATATGCGCATCTTATCTAACATTTTTACACATTTAAGATGAAAGCCCCATCCAATTAATTTATCTCCTAATCCCCATCCTATCTCCTGCTCATCTTTATCTCTCATGAGAAATATAAAAACAGAGATTTTGAAAGCCCCGGGCCCGCCATCTTGTAATTCCACCTTATAAGGGCGCTGATTATATCTCATTAGTGGGCTATACCATCTAAAATTCCATTGTGGAACATGTTTCAACTTGTTATTTCGTTATGATTCATATTCATACACATCCATGACATCATGACATCATGACATCATCCCCCGGATGATGTCATGGTCATGTGACCTTAAAAAATCCAGAAAATCTGCCCACCCCCGCCCACCCCGTTCTGATACCTGACATTTTATATCTACTGTATAATTGTACCACAAGCTACAAAATGCATATTGTTAATCTACATTTACAATTTCTAAACTATTAACAAATATAGATTTAATATTTATTCATATTTGTTTTCAATAATGCATTTAAAATAGTATATTCAACAATAAATATCGTATAAATTATACTTATCTAACTCATGGTAGCATTCTTCTCACAGCTAATTTCCTCAACATGCACTTGTCTACTTAGAGTATACACTAGCTAAGAACAGAAAAAAATATCTGATAGGCTCTTTCAAACTACTTACACTTCCGTGCACATGTGCCTAGGCACTCATTATTAGAGGTATTAAGTCAAGTAGATGGGAGGGGGTCACAGAGGTTTGTAGCTAGACTACTTTCTGTCCAAACAGAACCTTGGGTCTATGGTACTAACAAAAGCAAAGTAATAAAATAGGACAACAATCTGCAAATGGCATTTATGAATAAACTCTCCCTATGCAAAGTGACAGGGAAACGTTTTTTAAAAGCACAAACAACAATAACAAACATTTCGACCAATTTACATCAATTTTACAATGTCATCATTATTAAAAAAGTACCTGCTATGCATTTTTGTTGTTTGTTCCTTGTCAAAACCCACCTCTTACATTTTCACATTGTATGGGGTGTACAATTGATTTGCAGACAGGTTCATTATTCATATCAATATCAACAAGAGAAACTAAGGGATGCAAATGGTTTTTGTCAAAAACTGATTGAGTTAAGACTGTGAAGATTTTTGAGAACTCTATCTCGAATTCCAGTGGATTTGGAGGAATAACATTTTTTCACTTTCCAACCTCGAAGTTTTAAGACTACTATCAAGAGAAATCTCTTTACATTTGATATTTTCTATGCAGAATATATTATTTATAAAAAATATTTGTTTTTTGAAAATTTTAAAAATAAATCAAAATCTCTAATGGGCGAGATCTTAATTGAAAAAGAAAAAAAGAAGAGAAACTAATATACGCCAGCCTTCTACATGGTGACTAGACAAATGTGGACTAATAGGGCATTCACTTGGAAATAAGACTAGGTATCCTTATTTGACATATAACTGCCATTATGTAACATTGTGTTCTTTTTCGAGAAGATGACCTAGTCCCATTGTCGTATAAACAACCAGTATTTATTAATAGTTTACTCACGATGGGCAGCAAAATGTTCATTCTAAAGAGTAATAAAACATTCATGGTCTGTTGAAAGACAGTTTAAGATACATGTAGCTCCTTGATATGTTGTATGATGAACATAAGAGAAAATATCAATTAAATATAAAAATATCTGATGATTCTAGGATATAAGACAAAACCAACTTTACCATTATTAATATGCTATATATTACCAGTTTATCAACTTACATCATCAGTATCAGCATTCCTGTCAGCATCAGTATTTATGACTTTGCATATCTGTATTAATAAAAATGAAGTTAAGAGGATCAGATACACAATAAATAAAACATTGATAGTAAAAACATAAAAAAACTAGACATCAAGATTGCAAGCAATCTCACCAAGGCCCAGTAGGCATTTATAACAATTTATAACACACCTATGATGATGTAGATTGGTGAGAGAGTACCGTTTTCTTATCTAATAGTCCTAGTCATTTTGACCTCATGTATAACTGCACACGCATTTATAGATCAACTGAAGATAAAACTATGCAAGCGATTTTACTAAACCTACAACTTAAGCACTTTAGGGACACAAATTTATAAATAAGTAGCATTAATAAATAAATTTACATCAAATTATTTGGAATTAAAGTGTTCTTACATGAAATAAATGGTGATGTGTGTTGAGGAAAATTACCAACATATTTTTATCTTCAGTCAATTGGTTAGTACGCGCCTAGTAGTCCCAGCACCTTGACCAATCAGAAAGTGAGCGGGTGTGGGCTTTTCAAAACTTATATCGGCCCGCTGTTTTGTGACCAGTTTACACCACACATCATCATATGTATGTTATAATTGTGAGACATATACTATTATAGCTTTATTATTTTGTCACTATTTATCTCGCTACTAGTTAAAATGTTAATTAAATTAAAGAGGAATACAATAGTGAAAAAATTTGGATGCAGTCTGAAGAAATAAATACAGTGTATAATAATATTTTCAAAAATTGACATTTTAGTACATTATTTTCAGAAAAATTTCATCAAATATTATCTAGCTTCTTCTAGGGTCACTCGGTATGAGATGTATCCTATTGGTTCTCACTCTAGCATTAAGAAAAGGTTATATTCATTACCTCTGCTGATTGTGCATCACAGTCATAAAGTGTGATTTTGTAGTGTATTCTAGGGTCTTTTTTATTGTATTGTTGACATACAGCAAGCAGCCTGAGAAAATGAAGTCAAACAATTAGAAACATTAGAATATACAATAAAAATATATTTAAAATATACTGTAGATACTGTAGAATTGATGACATGTTGACAAGAAAGTGCACTAGACGAAAATTCCAAACTGATTTTTAAAATGTGTGGAAAGTGAAACTCAAGAAACTCATTATAATACAGAACAAGCCTTTAAGAATGAAAAAGGTGAGGAATAGCACTCATGTGAAACATTAGATTTTGTTATAATCTCCTATGGACCAATTTTTCCGCACAATTATTTCATTCGAAGAGCAGCATTCAGTGAACATTTGAGGGAATTTTCATAATTTGTTAAAAAACAGCTTTTACTTTATTTACACTATTTATCCCACTCATTTCTAAGTGATATTTAATGAGTACAGTACATGAACATTTAAAATCTGGTGTTACTTTTGGCGAATTATGAATATTTAATGACAAAAATCAATATTATTTCTACGGGCATCTAGTTTATTTGCAAATTTTATTTAAAAATTCCCTATCAACACTGTATTACGTCCATGTTGATAACTCTGAAAATCAACACTGTGGATTTTTAATCACGAGAAACAAACTTACTTCTTTTTGGTAGCATGAGGTTTCAGCTCTATCTCAGGCACCCGGTGCTGCTCTACGACAACTTCTCCATCCAGGAGTTCTACAGTTTTTCCCTTCCTCTCATATTTCAGATAATAAGGTGTGGCCATGAAGATATCTCCATTGGCTCGAGTTTTTAGCATGATATCAATATCCCTCTGGATGTTTTTGTTGTCTGAAAGGTTAAATTATTTTAATAAGAGGATTTTAAATTTGGAAATACTTTGAAACTTTACCAATCAAATGTACCCTTTTTAAATACAGAATGTGCAATACAAAGCTTCCAATTTAAATAAATAGTACCATGCAGGTACTGTGTTCACATGGAGTAGTGAAAATGCGAATCTTCCGCAACAAGAAACACTGGCATGTAGCGATCCTGATATCCAATAAATGAACTAATCTTCGATCTTGTTGAATATATTACACACTAAATATTCTCTGTGACTACATGTACACAGTTTATATATGATTTGAGTTGTAAGTACATCGTCACTTTCCACTGCGTCTAGAGAGGTAGGAACAATCAAAATGCAACACTGAATAGACTGCAGTCATAGCTTATTTGTACAGAATACAAAAGAATGGTAGGTGGTAGGTGTACAAGGGCATATATTGAGTTATTGGTTTAATGATAAATGTGACGCTTGAATGCGTAATGCTTCATGTATGCGTGAAACAAATACTCCGATGGCTTAATCTCAATTTGTCTGCATACTGTACAATATAACATTGAAATGATGGTCAGCTGTATAATAAAATCTGGAACACACGTCTAACTTCGAAATAATTCAATAAAGTATATCAGGATCACTATAATTGCTACATGCCGGTGAGAAAGGCTGCCATTTAATAAAATAAAAAAATTAGCAAGCTTTAGACCTAGGAGTCATAGGAATATTACAGTTAATGGGATAATAATTCATCCATTATAACATACCTTTCACTTCTAGAGTGCCAAGTAGCCTCACAGCCCACACTTCTTCAAAACCTTCAGAACCTTCTTCTTCAGAACCTTCTTCAGAACCAGTATCTTAAAAGGAAAGAAGCATATGCATTTTTATAGAAATAGCAATCGCTTTAACAGTTTAACATTCAGTATATTTAGAATTAAGAAAATTACCTAGATGCTATTAGTAAGTTCTCAGTTTAACAGAAATGGAAATCATAATAAAATTCATTTCATAAAAATGTACCTCTTTCATCTTTCTTTTCAACTTTGTCTCTGTCTTCAAAACCTTCAGAACCTTCTTCTTCAGAACCTTCTTCAGAACCAGTATCTTAAAAGGAAAGAAGCATATGCATTTTTATAGAAATAGCAATCACTTTAACAGTTTAACATTCAGTATATTTAGAATTAAGAAAATTACCTAGATGCTATTAGTAAGTTCTCAGTTTAACAGAAATGGAAATCATAATAAAATTCATTTCATAAAAATGTACCTCTTTCATCTTTCTTTTCAACTTTGTCTCTGTCTTCAAAACCTTCAGAACCTTCTTCTTCAGAACCTTCTTCAGAACCAGTATCTTAAAAGGAAAGAAGCATATGCATTTTTATAGAAATAGCAATCACTTTAACAGTTTAACATTCAGTATATTTAGAATTAAGAAAATTACCTAGATGCTATTAGTAAGTTCTCAGTTTAACAGAAATGGAAATCATAATAAAATTCATTTCATAAAAATGTACCTCTTTCATCTTTCTTTTCAACTTTGTCTCTGTCTTCAAAACCTTCAGAACCTTCTTCTTCAGAACCTTCTTCAGAACCAGTATCTTAAAAGGAAAGAAGCATATGCATTTTTATAGAAATAGCAATCACTTTAACAACTTTAACATTCAGTATATTTAGAATTAAGAAAATTACCTAGATGCTGGTAGTTAGTTCTCAGTTTAACCACCAGGGACACGTTTTTGTACTTTTCATAGTAACAAACGTTTGTAAGTTTATTGTTGAATTTGCAAATTTCACAAAGTTGTATTTTTGTAAGATTCTTAAAGTTACGAAAATAATGATGTCATGTTTGCTTTCATTCGTAGATTTAATAGTACTTCCGAACATTATGTAAATTTGTGAAGGGCTTCTTATTTAGTCATTTATATTGTGATTTGTGACGTTTTGTCATTTGAAATCAGAGAACACAAAGGGCAACATTGCAATCAACTTATTATCAACCTATTTCTATATCTGTAAATTAGTATTTTCATGGAATGTTAATTTTTAAAAAGTTCTTATTGTATGACTTTGGTTTTATTGCTTTGATAAACCATCTTTGATGTACTATCTGACAATGATAAAATATGACGTCAACCCATTCATAAATCTAGTTCCAAACAATTGAAAAATTACGAATGATTTACGAAAGCATTATAAAAATGGTCCATTCGTAACTTTACAAATTCGTATAACTCATTCGTAACTTTTTAAATATTTACGAATTGCGAAGGTTTGTTACTACTAACGGTACAATAATGGACTCCAGGTGGTTAGTTTGGGTCAAATAATAGGGTGAGATAAACTGGTAGAATCAAATATTAACAGAAATAGCAATCATTTTATAATTCATTCATACAAACATACCTCTTTCATCTAGTACATCTACTTCTTCAGAAGCTATGTTTCTATATGGCGTCTACAATAAATAAATAGACTATGAAATCACAAATCATACAGGCAATACAATAGTTGTGATCTAATGACATGAATGAAGGACAATTTAAATCATAGTGTGAAGACATCTTTAAATTTAAGTAAATTCCTACACCTTAGGGATTCGTTTGAATTTTCAAAAGTCTGAATCAGAAAAATGATACAATAATTGTGATTTACTCTAAACAACCTTCAATTTAAGTGATTTAAGGCTTAAACATGTAGGTCATACTTTGACAGGTTTACAAAATGATTTGAAATTCATCTGTTAGTTTAGTTTCATCAAACAGGCCTTGTGTGTCTTGACATCTATTATTTACTGTACTTATACTGGTACTATTTAATATTTTCAGGATTTTTGAAAGTTTGAGATTTAATTTGGGCAACTTCACAGCGCTTTATTGTAGCTCCTTAAAGCGGGGTACAAAAACCTGTCCAGTGCTAACAATAACATATTTTTCATATTTTTTTGAAAGTTCAAATTGAAATAAGACACCTAAAATAAAATAGACAGAGAAACTGGGGATTCTGGGGCATCATTTTTCCTAGTTCAACTGACTTGAATTGCCAAATATGGGAAGTACCGTATATCATTTACAGCCTTTATGACCTCTAACTTAAGTTATGCTTGGACACATACTTTGGACATATAAAATATTGGATTTCACTTATCATAACTAGAAAATGGCAACTCCATGGAGTCAAAAATCCCCACGTAAAAATATCCATTAATCTATATAATGTCTGATATCATATTAACCATCTACTCTACCCTAGATTTGCAGATAATAACACAGACATGTAACTAAATGTAACCATACTTTGAAGAGATCTCTAAATTATAGCTAATTCCCACTAAAGGCAGGCATTTTGATTTTTCTGTGGCATGAATCAGAAAATCAATACCATAATTGTGGTCTACTCTAAAATATCTTCAATTTGAGTATACTATAGCCATACTTTAAAGAGATTGGGAATATTTTGCGAAATCCCACATTTGGCAGCCTTTTGAATTTTCTGATGCCTGAATCAGAAAAACGTTAAAACATTTGAAATTTACTCTAAATTCCTTTCATTTGAGTATGATAAAGCTATAGATCAGAAAGATCGCAAGTTAAATGCAAATTCCTGTTCTTCTGACCCTCCAAGGGTCAGGGTGAAAAACATGGAATATATGTGAAAGTATAGATGTGAATATACTTAAAAATGTGATATATTTCTTACTTTGGTTTAAAGTGAAAATCTTGTGATTTTTGCAAAAATTTCCCCCATTTTAAAGTGGCGGTCATCTTGAAAGAAATACATCTTTCGACCAAATATGAAGAAAATCTGTCTACTAGTATTTCAGTTATCTTCCGGATGGATGGACTGAAAGATAGACTGCTTCACTATATCCTTGCCAAACTTCGTTCGTTGGGATAATTATAGGCCATATTTAACATTTGATGTTTGCCTGACTGGTAAAAAGTACTTACCACTGATTTAAATGGCACTAAGAAGCTCCGAAATCCATTTTCATAAAACACATCATACTTCTTTTTGGCTGAAAGGAGAAAATGAAATCATCACAAAAAAGATAAATATCGGGTTTCTCAAAAAAGGTCACACTTTTTTACACATATTATCTCAGCAATAGTTTGCTCAAATGCATTAAAAATTGTCATAAGGTAGCCTCAGTCTATTACAAGCAAGATGTCAAATTATGATAAAGATCCATCAAATATTCTGTGAACATTGAAAATTCAAGAATCCAAGAAGTCATAACAGGTACATCATTCTTATGATTTAGTGTTAAAAAAAGTCTACTTACATTTGAGAACCCTGGACACCTCTATAAGTTTTCCTTTATACATGCCTAGTTGGCCGCAAACCAAAACACGTGTGTGATGAGCTATAAAAAATACAGACAACACATAGAATTATTGTTACTTTAGTAGGCTGTTCCAACATGTATACCTAATGTGTAGAGATTTCTGAATTCATTAAACATTTAACTATTATATAAAATGTACTTTGGCAATCACACCCCAAGAGCAGACAAAAATATATTGACCAAAGTTAAACTTCAATTACAACATTTGGCCTACTACTAGCGAACAAATTCCAATATAAAAATGCAATACTAGGTTTATATTTAGGACTTTAGGACAATCTGTAACAGCGACCCATTTAGAGGTTTATTTACATTATAAGTCAATTGGTCTTGAGCATCCAAACAGGGGGAAAATAATTTTGAACAGGTAACAAACAATGGAAAGCAAATCATTGAGTTAAATAATAGTACCTCTACATAGCAATGGCAGTAGAGGATAGTTCAAGACACCATAAAATGATATATACCATCAATCTAACAAATAAAAGAATGAAGTATCAATAGATGATTGATTTAGGTGTTCGGAATAACCCCCCTGCTACATGAAGTTGCCCTATTTTTCTCATTTGGACATTACCCAATGCTATGCCCAGGATTTTTCTTTTTAGTGAAATTTCAGGATATTTTAATTCTAAAGTGCAACATTTCATGGTTTTTCGATACTGTAGATACACTAGGCCTGGGCTTACAGTTCATTTCACTATTCTATTGACCTCAGTAAAACCTAAAAAATAAGTTATCAAAAGACTACTGTCCAAAAATATAAGGAAAATTATATTAAGATAGTACATTAATGACAGTTATACATTTGTAATACACTTGTAATACACTTGTAATTTGAGGAGTTTTGGCCATGTTAATTTCATCAAAATATAAGAGGCCACATATTTCATTAGGCCAAATACAATAGAATTCACTGAGGTTGACTCAACAGACTATAGCCCATTTCACTGCTTTATTGCGTTAGTAGAACCCCAAAAATAAGAAATCAGGAGACCATTGTGCAATAATATATGGAAAAGTATATTCATATTGCTGTATTGTACATGAATGACATTTGTATTATAGATGGTTTAGTTTTTTGTGCAATAAGCCTGTGCCCTCTTGTAATTTAAAGAATTTCAGTCATGTTTATCTTTTTGAAAATACTATGGCAGAGAAGCATCAAAATATAAGAGGCCACACACTTTATTAGCCAAACTAGAAGCAATCCAAGATAAACAAATGACATTTTGTTACAGTGACGTAAGTCGTCAAAGTAACATACATCGGTAATATAACGGATTTTCGTCAATGTAACAAAAGAGAAGGGCTAAATATATGAATTGCAACTTCATTTACGAATCAAATTCCAAACCGAGAGCATTTCTAGAAGCTAGACTATATTGTCTAACTTTGCGCCAGATAATAATCCGTAACATGACTAATACGTATGTTTAATTCAAGAAAACAAAAAACTTTTATCCAGGAAGTTCATCCATTTTGTTACATTGACATTCCTTCAAAGTAACTCTTTACTTGGTATTCGACTCAATCTTTTTGTACACGTTCCTGGGGCCAATGGACTTTAGGCTTAGGCCAGAAGAAGTGAGTAGCTCCTATAATTCTTTCATATTATATAGTATTCAGGGATTCCCCATTATATAATCTCCAATCAAATTGCAGGATGTGATCACGTGAACAATCATGAGCACATGCTTTCTTAGTGCCGCACATTCGCGAAGTAAAATTTGAAATCGTCAAAATGGTGTTTTTTCAATTAAACATAAGTTCAACATCATCATTTCAAAACTACGGTAATATCATTGAAGTTACTCGATCCAAACTTTCAGAGAATACTCATAAAACACAAGCGAACATTGAGAGATCCATTCCAATGGCAAATGAGGCCTGTTTATAAAATTGGGTTATGGAACATGCTAATATGAAAGGTGATCTTAGGGAAATATCCCCCTGGGGCGGTAAATTCGTACGATCTGCGATCCAATCCGGATATATTTTGTCATGGTAATGATGCATTGTGGGATTGATCCAAGTATAATCCAAAAATCTGTGAATTTGTACGATCCTGAGATTAATCATCTCAGGATAAATCTCAATCCACCTCTTGAGGTGGATAACTTTTTGGATAAATTTTATCCGAAATTCCAATACAAATTGGATAAATCTTGGGGATTCCCCATCATTATCCTCGGATCATACGAATTCACCAAATATTTATCGGATTAGTAATCCAAAATTTATCCCAAAAGATAAAATTTATCCCGATTGGATTGGGGATCGTACGAATTCACGGCCCCGGGGCTTAGGCAGTAGACTCAGCTTAGGCAGGGGCTGAATTTTTGAAAAATATTTTAAGAAAAGTTCAGAATTTTCATGAAACATTAACTTTGACGACATAAAAACCATACTCAATAAACTTCTTGTGATAGTTTTTTAATTTTAGATGTTATTTATATCATCATGTACAGATCAAACCATCTTATTCGCACATTGTGAACTAATATTTGTAAGATCCAAACCTTCAATAGAATCCATTTTGAAACAACCCGGATGTAAGACTACACTGTACGAAACGCAAATATCGTTCAACGAACAGATATCCTCATCACCACATCAAGGTGCAATTAAACGCATTTTCAAGGTTTTTCATCGATTGTGCAGCCAAATAAACACATACAAAGCCAAAACTTTGCCTACATATGCTATTGGGACGGTACTCCATGCCTATGCCCTCAGATTTAAAAATAACGAAGTTCTAGATTAAAAAATCTTGGAACCCGTGAATATTATTAACTTATGGATGCTAATTTCGTACCTAGCAGGTATAATGCTTATCATGTCAGACAATTTTTTGCAGTGGAGTTATCTTGGCAATATAAGTTTTTAAAAGGGTACTTGATAAATAAAAAACATTAAAAACATTAATCAACCATTGGTTGATTTATTTATTTCACTTTTTTTAATTATTCAGACAATATTGTAAAAACACCACTCGGGGTGCAATTAACCACATTTAGAAATTCAATCATGCATAACTCAGTTTATTGTGATTGAAAAATGCTATTTTTTTTACAAAAGATTCCCTAGACCACTCCCCATGCATGCGCCAATTTTTATAAAAAATAAAAAATTGGGGTAAAAGTTAGAATCACTTGAATTTTTGATTCAACCAGGGTGCAATTAGCGATGGCATTAGAAAGACTGTGGTGGTCTCCGTTTTTTTGCGACGGCGGTTGGTGGTTGGCGGTTGGCGGTTGGAGGTTGGCGTCCGGCGTCTGTAACAATTTCTTACAACTTCCTATAACTTAACAAATACTGTTTAGACTGACTTCAATTTTTTTCTAAATCATCTACATGTTCTCAGAAGTTCAAATCTGACTTTAGATTTGACATTTGACCTTCAATGACCTTCTCAAGGTCAAAAAGGTCTTTTTTCAACTTGCTTCACATTGACTAAATTTTTTTTCAAAATCATCTACATGTTCTCAGAAATTCAAATCTGACTTTAGATTTGACTTTAGATTTGACATTTGACCTTCAAATCTGACTTTAGATTTGACATTTGACCTTCAATGACCTTCTCAATGTCAAAAAGGTCTGTTTTCAACTTGCTTCAAATTGACTAAATTTTTTTTTCAAAATCATCTACGTGTTCTCAGAAATTCAAATCTGACTTAAGATTTGACATTTGACCTTCTCAAGGTCAAAAAAGGTCAAAAAGGTCTGTTTTCAACTTGCTTCAAATTGACTAAAAGAAATTTTCAAAATCATCTACGTGTTCTCAGAAATTCAAATCTGACTTTAGATTTGACTTAAGATTTGACATTTGACCTTCAATGACCTTCTCAAAGTCAAAAAAGGTCAAAAAGGTCTTTTTTCAACTTGCTTCAAATTGACTAAATTTTTTTTCAAAATCACCTACATGTTCTCAGAAATTCAAATCTGACTTTAGATTTGACATTTGACCTTCAATGACCTTCTCAAAGTCAAAAAAGGTCAAAAAGGTCTTTTTTCAACTTGCTTCAAGTTGACTAAATTCTTTTTTCAAAATCATCTACATGTTCTCAGAAATTCAAATCTGACTTTAGATTTGACATTTGACCTTCAATGACCTTCTCAATGTCAAAAAGGGTCAAAAAGGTATTTTTTCATCTTGCTTCAAATTGACTAAATTTTTTTTTCAGAATCATCTACATGTTCTCAGAAATTCAAATATGACTTTAGATTTGACATTTGACCTTCAATGACCTTCTCAAGGTCAAAAAAGGTCAAAAAGGTCTGTTTTCAACTTGCTTCAAATTGACTAATTTTTTTTTCAAAATCATCTACATGTTCTCAGAAATTCAAATCTGTCTTTAGATTTGACATTTGACCTTTAATGACCTTCTCAAGGTCAAAAAAGGTCAAAAAGGTCTGTTTTCAACTTGCTTCAAATTGACCAAATTTTTTTTTCAAAATCATCTACATCTTTTCAAAAGTTCAAATTTGACTTTACACGTTCTCAGAAGTTCAAATCTGACTTTAGATTTGACCTTTGACCTTCAATGACCTTCTCAAGGTCAAAAGGTATTTTCCAACTTGCTTTAAATTGACCAAATTGTTTTAGGTGGTGACATTTTGTCATGTTAATGCCTTGTTAATATTTGTGATTAATATTAACCAATTATTATATTTAGTTAATTTTCATTGCTTGCCTATACTTTTTTATAAGATCTCAAGGCTGACAGTTTAGTAAGCCACATTAATTAAAATGCCATCAATCAACAATTGAAGACTCAATGTTTTTGAAGTGAGGACAAATATTTTGCATTCCACCATGTGTAAATGTCACATCTATCCAAATGTCAATATACTAGTATTATCATTTCTTTCATTGTTATGGTTGCCTCCTACGTTTTAAACTAAATATTGCACATAAACCATTTAGAACTGCTTATCCCTCTGCACCCTCCTATGCTAATAAAACAGACATTTTTTGGAAGAGTGATTGTTGACTTCGGTCTGTTTGAACAAATAATTTCTAAAGCTTTTAGATCTCTAGATACTTTACATAGTTCAAGATTACTTCATTTTTAGAAAGAAGTAAGTCTATTCACTCTGTGAGGGTACAATTACTGGTATTTACAATTTTCATGTCACCACCATAACTGGTGACAAATTGTTACAGCCTTTTACTTTTTGTGGATGGTGTTTGGCAGTTGATGTTTGGTGGTCTGCCTTTGACAATTGTCATCCTTAACAAATGGCAGGTGGTGACATTTCACATGTTAATGGCATGTATTGAATTAAGATGAAATAATAGAGAAAGTGCCTCTAAAACATAAATCAGTGTTAATATAGGTGTTTTCCACAAGACATCATGATTGATACTACATCTACATGTATGTTTCAGTTTTGTCGATAGACTGTCATAATGAGAAGGCATATAGCAGACAGGTGAAGGCATTGTGCAACATCAAAGACTTTGTAGGGGCTTACAAGACAACAACCACCTGGTTGCAGTATGACCCACAGGTACACACCATATATGTCCTAAAACCCACCATATGTATAGTAAAAATAATATGCATAAAGTTCTATTCTATTATGTAGTTGTATGTGTCAATGACCTTACATGGATTTTTAAATCATAAGAATTGCATGTTAATTTTGAAATCACTATAAAAGTTGTGCGTAATATAAATAGAAAAACTAATTTATATGAAATTACAGTGTATATAAGATCCATATGTTCAAACTTATCAAAACTTCTTCCATGTATAATAAATGTTTCATTCGTACCACATTTCACTAAATCAACAAGTTTCTGCATCATTCGGTTTTAACATTATAGTTGTCTCTTTATTAATTATTTGAACAGCAGTTCTATAAAAAACAAATGATCAATTATTGATCCTCATGTAGTCAATTAATATTACAATGATTACTTGATGATTTTTATTGAAGCTAGATCCTTTCATTCCTTTTGAATGATTCCACAAATACATAGAAGTCACTTCGACCAAGATACAAATACATTGAAGTCAAGTCACTCTGACGAAGATACAAATACGTTGAAGTCACTCTGACCAAGATTTTGTTATTTTTGTTGAAAGTTGAATAACTTCTATTTATTTCAATTGAAAGGAGCCATTAGTCTGTGCTATGTACATGATAATGTGCATGATTCAATTCTATTTCTTAGACCTGGAAGTTGGTTGGTACATTCTTTGTTTGAAAGTTTTTCATTTTTTATTTTCATTTTAGAATGCAAGAGCAAAGAGAGAGTTCGAGCGTTTGGGGATTGTCATCAATGCTTTGGATGATCAGGTTAGGTTATCATCATTGCTTTAGAAAAGCCTCAAGAACATATATCTGATTGTCATCATTGCTCTCAAGATAAGCCTGGAAAACACCTCTGTTGTTATCATCAAATACATAAGCTTAGTGAAAACCATGTATTTATTGTAATAATTATCATCATTGCTTTAGATAAGCCTGGTGAATACCATGTAATTATCATCAATGCTTTAGACTATACATATGTAATTTATCTCTTTCAAAGGACCATGCATGATTGCAAATATCTTAGACAATCATATCATTGATCCCAAATATTATATGTTTTCCTGTAATTGAGGTCCCCAGGATAATAAAATTATTAATTCGACTGTTAGACCAAAATTAGACCTAGATTAGGACCCTAGTTCAACACATCACCGTCTAAAATCATTTGCAATACCATACCTGGTTCTTTTGAAATCTATTTGTAGTGTGATCATGATACCTAAATGCCTCTTATTTCTTCAAATTAAAATATTTACACTGAAATAATAATGTTGACAGAATTGATGATAACAGTAATGGGGCATTGTTTCAGGAATGTGATGATGATAATGATGATGTGTTAGTTGGAGGACCTGAGTTGGAAGGCAGAGTCCCACCAGAGGGAAAGGAAGATGACGCTAACACGCAATCTCCAGGGACACAAAACACCCTTAATACAAATAGCCCCCTTAAATCTGCGACCCCTGGGAGCAGTAAGCTAAATACAACATCAGTTGCTAATAATTTGAATCTGAAAGATAACAAGATGAGAACAATAATCTCGAAGAACCTAAGTCCACATGTTGAGGCCACAAATAACCTAAAAAGTATGCTGAAGATTGGGAACAAAGGTGAGAGGGAATCAATCATTGGTTGTATTTATAAAATCAATTGAGTCCAACCTGTCACTCAAATAACACAATTGATACCTGGGACAACATGATCTGACACATTGTTGTAACTCAATATTTTCATGTACTAATTTAATGGTTTCATTGTCATATTGAATCACTTTTTCACTTTTTTAAACAAGCATCATGAAGCATTTTTGAAAGAAAGTCAGGATCTTGTCAATTTTTATGTCACCACAAGTAGTGAAAAATTGTTACAGTTACAATTTTGTAAATGCTGCAAAAAGCACTGATATCATGACAGTTACCAAACTTTGATATTGCTGAACGAACAGAATAAAACTCATATCTCGTTAGGAGTTGCTTGATCTAATTTATCGTATTGCTATAATTACAGTAAAACCTGTGTTCAGTGAACTCTTATGGAACCAAAAAAATATGTTCACTTAGGTCGGTGTTCACATTACAGAGGGGCAATTATATGCAAAAGTCAGTGGAGTATGTGCTGAGAAGGGATGTTCTCTCTAGGTAAAGGGAGAGGTGTTCACTAAAACAGATTTAACTGTATTTAACAGGTTTAACAGACACAACACAATGCAAAGCACCAGGAAACCTTGACACTGGAAGATATGACTGTAAATACTGTAAAGTTTCCTGTGACAGCCAAGCTAAGTTACGTGAACATGTATCCACTGAGGAACATAAGAAGAAAGTCTCGTGTGATGATGATAGAGTCTGGAAATATAGACCCCCACCCAGAGGTGTCACATCTGATGAATACATGACATGCATCAGGTATTGGGTCTATGTGAATATGTTACAATCGGTCTGTCATAGGTCTATCCATGCATTCCGTCTGTCCATCCATCAGCAATTTTTTTACAAAGAAAAATGCCTAAAATCTCATATCGATTCTATGAAGATCCATACTGGTAATATCTTGCAACAATTCATAGTTAGCTCATTAATGACGTTTTGCCTTCATACAAACACAAATGCAATAAATTGAGGCTCTTTGGTCTAATATTTAACACTGTTATCTTGTTTTCAGTTTCTACAGTACCAAGATGTGCAAATTGGGTGAGAAGTGTTCACAAGCCCATTCTGATTCAGAACTCAAGGAATGGAAAGAACGCTTTGAATATCGTAAAGAGAAAATGGAGGCAGCTAAGCAACTGGAATTTGGTGAGGCGTCTTATGTGGAAAAATTGTACAATAAATGGCTGGAATCTCCCAACCCTACTGAAGTAGTAAGTGATCCAATATACTCACTGAAAATGAAATATCATAGAGGAATTAAACTTATGAAATGTAACCAAAAGTCGACTACTTAAAAAGTGTAGAAAATTGAAATATCATGTCATTGTTAATACTTTTGATATAATACACTGGTCAGCATCTGTAACAAATGGCAAGTGGTGACATTTTGCATGTTAACGCCTTGTTTACATTGTGACACCATACTCTTGTTATTTTTAGATGACCGATGCTTTGGAGGGTGTACATGTTCATGTAAATACAGACCTAGTGGTTACAACATCTAGTAAACGTTTTAACAATTCATGGACTTTTACAGTCACAAGCAGGGTAAGTACACTCGGACAGACATACATGTAGGGGGTCTACATATTGTACTTTCTTTTTTGTTTGTAGTATCTTCTCAATTAGAATACCTTCAAAATACTGTTCCTTAGTATGTGTACTAAATTAGAGAAAATGGCTATTAAAATCAAATAAAGAGTTGATACTTTTCCAGCAAAGTGTTCACAAGGTGGCGCTATTGGATGACACGAATAGATCTTACTTCTCCATTGCGTCAGTGACAGTTGGGCCAAAGAAGAGTCAGCGGGCACAGAAAGTCAGCGAAAACTGCCAAGAATGGACCAATCACACTTTTTCCCCTGGCAAGAACAACAATGAGCAGGTGTTCAGGATAAAGGTACAGTTTGATGCAGTTTTACCTTATGAATATTTTTTCAAATGACTAGTGCAAAATTATGTGTTGACCTATTTGTAACTAAAAAATGATCAAACTAGCAAAACAGTGAATGACCTCAATTTTTTCAACATTTTTTGGTCTAATGTGAGAGCATGGATATTTTGAATGCTGGGGCTACTACACAAAAAATCCAAGATGATCCCAACAAAATTGAATCATTCCAAAATAAGAAGGTCACATTTTTTGAATCAACATGTACAGAAAATGTCTTGTATATTAATAAGATCAGATGGATTTCCAACTCAGTGAAATTTAAATTTCGACATGGTGTGTTGTGTGGCACATCATCCGTCTAATAAATTTACAGAAAATAGCATAGAGTAACATTTGTCATATCTGAGTAATTAGTCAGTCCATTAGTTAAGAGATAATATTGCAAATTTCAGATCATGTTCAAGACAATTATCTATGGCACATTTCGTCAGACTGTTGTGTTGGACTTTGGCAGTGAGCCAGTCCTGGTGAACCACATCTGTGTGGACTCTACGCCTGTCACAGACCTTGACAAACTACACGATGATCTCATAATAAATCAGGCGGCACGCTGGGACACTCATAACTCTCACATAGTACAGTTTGAACCCTGGTGAGTATACATGTATATCTAGTCAATCAAAATGATGAAATTACAAAAATCACAATATAAGTCTAGTATCCAAATACTCTTATAACAAACTGGCGGATCCAGAGGGTCTGCCTTGGGTGGGCCAAGAAAAATATTTGGGCCCAACAATTTTGTAGGGCCTCAATAAGTGGACCTTTTTGGGCATTACTTGGGCTTTTTAGGCCAAATTGTCAAAAAATTTGCCTTAAATTTTCAAAATTTGGGCCCAATTTTTAGATTTAGGGCCCTAAAAAATTTTGTTATTACAATCGCTAAAGTTTTTTTTCTGATTTGAAATGTGGGCCCCCCTTGTTAGCTTATGGATATGCCTGTGTAATATATGCAGAATTATTATTATTTTTCATGCAGATTGGAGATGCAGCTTCACATGAAAAACTGTAATTGATACCATGTATAGTTCAAAGGTTATTCAAAACATTTCATATTTGTAGGCATGGATATTCTGACCAAGAGCGTAACATTTTGGATCTCTATCCCCCACCCATGGCAGCTAAGTTCATTATGTCTGAGGCCCTTACAGATGGTCAACTGAGGAAAGAGAACTACAGGAGTAGGATGCATGACTTACTCTCTATTGAAGAAATGGCTCAGTTCTCAAGTATAGCTAGGTTAGTCAATTTGGACAATTTGTGACATATTGTCAGTCTCCAACTTTTTAGTAGATGGCAGTTGGTGTTCGGCAGTTTGTGTATAGTGGTCAGAGTTCATTGGTTGGCATCTGTAACATATGACATGGTGTCTGTTACAAATGGCAGGTAGTGATGTTTTGACATACTGTCTTGAACAGTATTTTCTCATACATTAGATTAAGGTCTATTGCTTATAAATAATTGAATGTTTCGTTTTTGCAAACTATACCACATCCAAAACTATATTCATTGTAATTCAGCCAGGCAGGGTCAGTTGAATGCTTCATTTGTATTGCTGCAAACTGTTAATGTACTTCCATCTCTAGCTCATTTCAATTTCATCCTGGTTTCTACCTCTTTTTCTTTCTGACCGGAAGAACCTGCTTTTTAATGTCAGTAATCAATCCTGAATATCACATTTATAAACTTGTGCTAACTTGTTACTAAAGGAATTAGTATATTTGTATAATTATAGTATAATAGGAATCGCCATAAGAGTCCAATAAATGGTGCCAATTTTATGATAATGAAAAATGTACATTTTAGTTAATAAAAATTGACTTTTACCATATTCATATCCCACCTACTAAATGTTTAGGTTTAGAATATGTAACATATGAAAGGCTCCTAATGTGCTACTCCATTTTTAATATGTTTCAGATTCAATGTCAAAACCACCATCCAGCTTGTAGACAGATTTATGCTGGCTCCAAGTAACGTTAGCACAGCCAAGTATGCACAGGGTGGAGAACTATTTGCCCGCATGAAACTTGTTTCTGATGTCTCAGAGGATACATCTCACGGAAGGTTGATCCTCCAGAATGTCAACACTGTCCTCCTTGCTCCTGTTAACCAATCAAATGCTGGCAAATCAAGGCAAAAAGTGAGTTATTATTTGACTTTTTATCGCACTTTGAAAAAGTGCTATATTGCCATTGTCTTGTTATTATTAACATTATGAGTAACATGATTGTATTAAATCGGTATAAAAACTTAGTTCAAGGTATCACTCTATACATTATACTGTATAAGTGGTAATTTTGCCTAAATGGAAAATTCAATGTAAGAAATATTATCTTCATAGTGTTATCCAATGGAAAGTTTCATGACATTAGGAAAATAAAAATGAGGAAAATGATAAAATTTGACCATTTAGAAAATTAATCACTCGGATCAAATACCACTTATAATTAGTATATTATAAGTCACCCATTCAATGTTTCCTATTGATTTTATGGAAAGTTTACCCATCAATCCAACATCAGGTTTATGTAGCAGTTTCTGTTATTTGCTAGAAGCATCACACTAATAAAAAATGTATTTATTTAGGTGTATGAAGCTATGGTGGAAGAGAAAGGGAAAAACTTTATATTCATCAGACTTTCCGCAAAAACTGTTGAAGAACTGAAACTGCAGACAGATACAGAATTCACTACACAGGTATTGCATAAATACAACATATGCAACTGTTATAGATTTATCTCAAGGTGCATAATTTGAAGAGTTATTTTATGTGAAGTTTTGTTGCTGAAACCAAGACACTGACTAATTAAAATTGTCAAATTGCAACATAACTTGAATACAGACTGACTGGTAAAATCTGTTATAGATCCGTATTACATATGTAGCTAGGATTTTTGTGATGTCTTTTAGGTGCAGTTTCAACTGAACCGGATGCCAATATGTGAGATGCATTATGCTATAGGGCGTCTACCTGATTCAACCTATGTGTTCCCTGATGTTCAAGTCATACCAAAAATACCATGGACTCCAAATAGGTATGAGTCATACACTCAAACTTGTAATACTTTCTCGTAATGTGTCCTGTTTAAGCCCATGTTACAGTGTTAGATACTACACACTTTAATTTTCTATGTGCAAAAAAGAGAATTGAGTTTGAATAAGTTAAAAAACTGTAATTTAAGTTGCTCTGTATTGCATGTTAAAGTTATTTCTCTTTTTGGATTTGGATTGACATTGGGCTCAAAACCAGCTATTCTAGGAAATAATCTCTTTCGAAAGTGACATTGAGTTGTGGAAGTTATCTATTTGTTTCCTTTATCTGCTTTTCCATTATCTCCGATGTCTATCAATTTTACTATGAAAATGTGAACTTTTTTGTTCTCTATTTCTTAATAAATCCAGTCTGCGAATGATTTAACAGAAAGTTTTATTTTGTTATAGAGACAATAGTCAGAATGGGTAAAGTTGAATAATAGAAGTTATTTTTGTTTACTTTTTGGTATGGTTTACTTAATTGTTGTACACGTACACAACTCAAAGGCAGAAATGTCACACCAACCACTGCCTAATATGGTCTTGTAGCATTATTATTATTATTAATTGGAGGTGGGTAGGTGTTACAAAAACGCTCAGTTGTTACCTTGTTACCACTGCCTAATATGGTCTTGTAGCATTATAATTATTATTAATTGGAGGTGGGTAGGTGTTACAAAAACACTCAGTTGTTACCTTCTCAGCTCAATACATAATCCAGCAGATTTGAGTCCTGACAAGCTCAATGGGCTCAATCATAGATGGGAACCAGTCTTGGCTCATTGACAGTAAATTCCAATTACTTAAAGTACCACTTGGTGGGTTAAAACTTGAGTTTTGAGATTGAAATGAAGAATCTGATTATGACACTGCCTCCTGTACACCAACCCACCGCTATGATTTATACTTTGTGAACGATGTTCACTAGAATTCACTTCATATTGTTTGTTTCACTTTTATTTCTAAGTTTGAGGGGTGTATATAGTGTGTTTTGAGTGATGGATACTTGGTTGTCTATTCTAACCCAAGTTCATCTGCAAATAAATGTTTGTTTTGTATTTAGACTTTTAAAATCTTGACAATTTACTCTACTTGCCTATATGAGGGGCACACATTTTCTATTATATTTGTGTTTTCAAATTTTGAATAACTTTTTATATTGTGACTTCAAAATGTTTTTTTCTCTCTGAACTCTCTTGATGAAGCTATATGAAAAAATGAAATAAAGAGCAGTGAAATAAGGCAGAGGTATTTAAACTCTATGTTTAGCATATTTTTGTATCTGTTGAGGGAATGTTAATGGCATTTATTTTTCTTTTATCCTAATTCCTTAACCCATATGTACAGTAAGACACATATTTCTACCAAAATGGAAATATTCAGTCATGCAGTTCATTTTCTTTAATATGCAAGGTAAACATGAAACAGGTAGAGTTTCCATTTCAAATTCCCATGGAGCCAATGTAAAAATCCTGAAATTGAAACATATTTTCTTGTATTAGACAGTAAATACTGATATGAGCTGCATGTACATGTATGTGTTATAAATGTAATATTCTAAATAATGCTATCTTAAATGGATGTGCCACTGTTGTAGAAGTAAAGTGTCCAAATAAAGAAATAGTATTGATTCATGTCTTGTAGGCAGTGGGATGATACATTGGACAGTCGACTGAATGCAAAGCAGAAGGAAGCGATTGTCGCTATAACAACAAAACTGAGTTCTAAACTACCCCCTGTTCTGATTGTGGGCCCCTATGGCACTGGTAAGAACATCTCTCTTCTAAAATGCAATCTTATAGAATTTATTGTAACATTTTTGAGGGTGGACAAGGATACCTGATTTTGCACACATCTCAAAACTAAATAGAGCAATTAGATTGACTGCATTTTATCAGTACTTTTTGAATACTGCACCCCCTTTTATATGTAAGTGAACTTTACAATTTTTGACACTACAACATTCTGACCTGTTGACATGAACAATAGTTGCCTAAAATCATTGAAAGTCAAAATATATTTGGACCTTGCTAGAGATGGGTGTTTTATCAAGTATTATCCATTCCCATTTAACTAGTTTTGTCATGTGCTACTGTTTGTATTCCAGGCAAGACATTTACATTGGCACAGGCAGCCTTACAGATTCTCAACCAGAGTGGCTCAAGAGTTCTTATATGTACACACTCAAACAGGTATGTCATTACATTCAATTTTAAATGTATCAACCTTGGAGTAATAGTTTGAGTGACTCAGTCTTTACATTTCAGTCACAAGTACTTGGTTCCAAAATCACTCCTGGATGATTTATCCAATGAACTTAAATATACAGGGAGAGTCCACAGTTCGAAAATCAGTTGAGAATCATTCATCCAAAGAATGTACAACATACAGGGTGAGGATTTTGTTTATGCATCTCCCATATCTCCATTGATTTCCTTCCATATTTTCACAGACTTAATCTGTAATGCAGCATTGTCTCCCACCCACGTTGGAAGCCAATCTCCTTTCTTATCCCAGAAATCAGTTTGCGGAAAAGAATTATGAGAATATGTATTGCTCCAAGGTTTAGGTTTCGGTGTGTTGTGTACATCATCTGGAAAGTAGCCATTTGTTCCACCAACTGCTAGTTTTAAAGATAGATAGAACTGCAAATGAGAGGATATGTTATCAGTTTGATGGGGCTTACAGGGTGGGCCAATAAAAATTGGAACATTTTTCTGTTTATTCTATTGTCTTTATTTTTGCAGTTCAATCTATGAGAATTCAAATTATGGTAATGGCCTAGTCACATAGCCCGGCCGATGAGGTTACGATGAGCCAGCGATGCAATTTTCACCGAACTCGGCCGAACACCGGCCGGACACTGGCCGGACATCCGTGGCGTTTGTTGCTTAAAACCGCATCGGTGGTAGCTCGGTGAAATTTTAACTTCGGAGTTAAATTTCACCGGGCTCTCACCGAGCTTCCTCATCATGTCATCGCAGCCCCATCGTAACCACATCGGAAAACACGTCGGCCGGTGCACGGCCGAGTATCGGCTGGTGTCCCGTGCATCTGAGACAACCAGAGGACGAGGTTTTTTAACGGACAGCGGCCGAGCTCCGGCCGATGTGGGACAAAGCATCGGCCGGTCACTGTTCAAAGCCCGTTAACAACCCGGCCGGCGATCGCACGGTGTCCTGTTACCTGCTCGGGTACCGGCCGTATTCCTTCCGATGTCCGGCCGACCTCCGGCCGGTAGTTGCTGCCACATCGGCAGAAAAAACTACCATTTTGAGACAGACTCCGTACGGTCACCGGCCGGTGTTCGGTCGGTCGCCTGAAGATGTCCGGACGGAGTCCGTTCACGTCACCGAGCTCTGCTTCCGATGAGGAGAGCTCGGTGGCACCAAAAAAATCCACTGAGCTCTACCGATGCCGGACATCGGCCAGGCTATGTGACTAGGCCATAAAATGATTATTTGTGAAAATGTTAAAGATAAAAATTTGTATGTATGATTATTATCCCATAGAACGAAGTTCGTAGGGATATAGGGAACGCCTCCGTCCGTCTGTCCGTCCGTCCGTACGTACGTCCATACGTCCATCCGTCCAAGCAATAACTCAAATACCGTTGGCCCGATTTTGTTCATTTTTTGTATACATATACCCTATGGGGGTAGAAGTTCTGCTCGAAAGTCGATTTTCAAAATGGCCCCTCATTTCAAAATGGCGGCCATTTTAGTGCCGAATTTACAGTAATTTAGGTGCAATATGTAAAACTGTAATAGCAATATGTTTTAGATGTAAAAAAATTATATAGGACATAAATAAAGCTAGAAATGTAGATATTAAAGAAGCACATGGCAGCCATCTTGAAAAATGGCGGCCTTTACTCGTTATTTTACAATTTTTGCTGTAACTCGAAAAGTAGTCTTCATATTTGGTATGTGAATACTATAAACATTGCACACTGTCTAAAGACACTTTTGGTAGAAGGTGGCCATTTTAAAAAATGGCCGCCATTTTGAAAAATGGCTGCCATTTTAACCTATTTTACTATAACTTGAAAAGTAGTGAAGCGATTTTGTTCATATTTGGTATGTGAATACTATAAGGATGGCACACTGTCTAATGACACTTTTGGTAGAAGGCGGCCATTTTTCAAAATGGCCACCATTTTAACGTATTTTACTATAACTCGAAAAGTAGTGGAGCGATTTTGTTCACATTTGGTATGTGAATGCTAAAAGCATGACACACTATCCTATGACACTTTTAGTAGAAGGTGGCCATTTTGAAAAAAATTTTGAAAAATGGCCGCCATTTTAATGTACATGTATTTTATAATAATTCGAAAAGTAGTGAAGCGATTTTGTTCATATTTGGTATGTGAATACTGTAAGCATGGCACACTGTCTAATGACACTTTTGGTAGAAGGCGGCCATTTTGAAAAATGGCCGCCATTTTAACGTATTTTACTATAACTCGAAAAGTAGTGGAGCGATTTTGTTCATATTTGGTATGTGAATACTATAAGTATGGCAAATGGTCTAATGACACTTTTGGTAGAAGGCGGCCATTTTGAAAAATGCCTGCCATTTTTGCTATATACTTTGTTTGTAAAAATGCCATCCATGGGTGTTCGATGGGATTCGCTACGCTTTGGCGTTGCCGTTGTTCTGGTTTTTGGCTTGTCATGGTCATGATCTGTATTCTGCTTCTGTCATGAAAAATTTCCAAATTTTCTCTGCTTGAGACATCACTTCTGAAAATATGGTATCTTTCATACATTACAATATGCACCCTTCAGATGGTCTCAACACAATTTTTATCAATTAAAACATATGTAGTTATCTCTAGGAGAAGCAAGACATGTCTCCCTTGGATAATATAGCTTAACTGACCTCAGCTTTTTTCAAAATTGGCACAATAATGTCTCAAAACCTGTGATTTAAGCCATGTATGACTGTCAAATACAGCTAAGACTGATTGTTCAAGTGGACGAAGGACATGTTCAGGAAAATCTTGCATTGAGTAAAAAAAATTGGAACATTTTTCATCAACTGTAACTTTTTTGTTAGTCATGTATTATCTTCAATACTTTAGAAAATTGAAAAACAATTCATTGTCAACAGCTTGTACAAATATGAATGTACAAGCTCAACATTTAATTACCGACCATGTCCTCCACCCACCTGAACAATCAGTCTGAGCTGTATTTGACAGTCATGCATGGCTTAAATGATAGGTTTGAGACATATTGTGCCAGTTTTGAAAAAAAGCTGAGGTCAGTCAAGCTATATTATCCAAGGGAAACATGTCTAGCTTCTAGAGATAACTACATATGTTTTAATTGATAAAAATTGTGTTGAGACCATTTGAAGGGAATATATTGTATGGTATGAGATACTGTATTTTGAGCAATGATGTCTCAAGCAGAGAAAAATTTGGAATTTTTTCATGACGCACACAGTATACAGATCATGGCCATGACAAGCCAAAAATAATCATACACACATATTTGTATCTTTAACATTTTCACAAATAATCATTTTACCTTTATCTGAATTTTTGTGAACTGAACTGCAATAATAAAGAGAATTGAATAAAAAGAAAAATGTTCCAATTTTTATTGGCCCACTCTGTATATATTGATCTTTTATAATTTGTTTGTATATTGAATGTCACTACTAAAAACGACCAATGTTTTGAGTAATAAATCATAATCTAGTCACCTCTGTATCAAATGGAGCATCTTTTCCACCTTTCTCCCAAGGGTTTTCTGATAGCAGCCCCTTAGCAGCATAACCATCCGCTGGTGTTGGGGCATCAAGGATCAACTCTTCATCATAATATACCTGGATCCCAGAAGATTTCCAAATGAGAGTGTAGTTTATGAACTTTTCTCCAAAGTTTGCCTCTCCCATAGGAAGGTCTCTGAAAACAAGAGCAACATTGTTTTTTATTTGTTACATGTAAATGAAACATGCGTTTACAATAAGGTTGATATCTGTGAGAAGCTACAGGCCCATAGCCACCTTTTGTCATGGGGAAAATTCCAAGGGGTTCACATTTGTAAAGTGTGGCCCAAAATCACTTGAAAAGTGCTCAGAATGGTTTAAAAAAATGCATATTTCGAAAGAAGTTTTGGCCATAGGGGTGTTTGCTCGGGGCCCCTAAACCCCATGGCTACGGCCCTGAGAAGTCAAGTGTTAATTAGGAGTGGAATAATTAAAATTAACAAGCTTAGGAATACAACAACTTACTTGTAATAAACAATCTTAATTATACTGAAATGCAGTAAAATGCACTTTATTTACTATCTAGAGAGACAAAAGTATTACAATACGAGAGTGTTATACGAGTAGAATGGCATAGAATGACTGAAATGTCTTACTTTATGCCTTGTGGCAAATGAAAATGAATTCTGTTATCTCCCCAATGTAAACCTGTCCTGGCTCTTTGTACTCCAAGCTCCCCATAATTTCTGTTCCCTACAAAACAAAAAAAATTATCAATGTGTTGATTTTGAATTTTTGTTTTTCAATGTGTCAGTGTATTGTTTATTGTTCACTATGTTATTTTATTTTTGGTTGTCCACTGTGCCAATTTATTTTTATTTATTTATTTATTGTTGTCTTTTTTTCCACAATGCCCTTTAATTTTACCCAAAGAAACAGTCATTCCAATTCAGTTTTATTGATAAATTCTGTATTGTTACCTCTGCTTTCAACCAAGGTCATCTGTCCTGACCTTGGCCATCTACCATATACATTTGATTTGGGTAATAGTGAGATTCCAGGCCAAAGCCAGTCTCCTTGGGGCATCTTGGCAATAACCTTGGATAAATAAAGTAAGATAAGTATAAAGGGAGGGATTGAATATGTGTTTTTCTAAAGAGCCATTATTGATAATTTACGCTAATGCCAGACATATTAATATAATAGTTGATATTTAATTAGTTTTAAAGTTCTCCAACTACAATTGGCAAGATTTAATCAACTTTATGAAATACCTCAACACGACCATATCTAAATGATTCCTTTGTGTGTATTTTGCCAGACATAACTGGGTTGACGATGATGCCAGGTCCAGTTGCCCTAAGACAACCATAATGCCTTACTTCCGTGCATTCTCCCCATGTTTCTGGAATTACATAAAATATTTTAATGTTGATTTTGTCGTTTGATGTGATTTATAGGTTTTATGCACTTCAGAGTCTTTTCTCTGTGTATACATGTAGTTGCGAACTGATCTGGCTGTTAATCTCTCTCATCTTGATCTCTCTCAAAAAGAAGAATATATGTACTAGTATCTGAAACTCAGTTTAATGAACAGCCCAAGGTTCACCTGTTTATTTACCTCGTTTCGAAGATTACATTGACATTTTTATCTAATTTTTCTGCACTTTTCTGTAGTCTGTAATATATTTAGAATGAAACTGACTTGGAAATACCTCATTTAGTATAAGATGCAATTCATAGAATCGTGCAAACATTCACATTCGATATATTTGCTTCCTCATTTCAAAGTTATTGAAACATAAATGCTTATGACTCAGTGACCAAGTCAATGTGACCTTTTACTTAGTTAAGTAATATTAATTATTATGTCTTACGTGTAACATCTAATGTACCAGTTTTCACAAAGTTTTCACCAAAACGATCATCAGTTAGGGTCTGAAACCAGATTATTTTGTTTTTTTTAAAACATTCATTACAACAGCTGTAATATCAATGGATCCCATAAGTTACATGTCAAGTGCTGTACCACTTGAGCTACGGAGCGGACTGACTCTCTCACATCAACATTGCATATATGACATCACAGCCATGACTTACATGCCCAGTTTTTTTTCATACATTCATTACAACAGCTGGTTCTCAATATCAATGGATCCCATAAGTTATGTAGTTAATAGTGTATCAGGTTCATGTGTCGAACTTTAGGCTATGAATCTGAATTCTTGATATATCACCCTATGCAGACAGAGCCTGTGGGAAATATTGGGTGCGGCGCAAAAGAGCGGAGGGTGCGGAGCTAACGGTCATTTTTGAATTTAGAATTGGGGTATTTCTGAAACTAAGCCGTTTTGGGACTTCAAATATACCAAGATATGTGTATTTGACACCAAATATCAATAAAATTGTGAAAATAGTAGTGCAATTCATTTTATAGCGACGCAGTATGCCTTAAACATTTCCCAGACCTATATATTTTGAGACTATCCTTTTAATACTGCGTCCCCAGCATTCATAAAAAATGATGTTCAAGATACACTACCCATGCAAATTATTTTTGCATCTTGGAAGCCAGGCAGTATCTGTGTGATTTTATAAAAATTCGGAAATGTTCTTCAGATATGAGCCCCCTCTAAATATTGGGTGCGGAGCTACGTTTATGGAGCTGCTCCGCACCCAATATTTAGAGGGGGCTCATATCTGAAAAACATTTCCGAATTTTTATAAAATCACACTGATACTGCCTGGCTTCCAAGATGCAAAAATAATTTGTATAGATCGTGTACCTTGTACACCATTTTTTATGAATGCTGGGGACTCAGTATTAAAAGGATAATTTCAAAATATATAGGTCTGGGAAAGGTTTAAGGCACACTGCGTCGCTATAGAATGAATTGCGCTACTATTTTCACAATTGTATTGATATTTGGTGTCAAATACACATATCTTGGTATATTTGAAGTCCCAAAACGGCTTAGTTCCAGAAATATCCCAAATTTAAATTCAAAAATGACCGTTAGCTCCGCACCCTCCGCTCATTTGCTCCCCACCCAATATTTCCCACAGGCTCTGTCTGCATAGGGTGTATATGGTAAAACCTATATTTGTAGTGTGTCACTTTCAGTGGTATTTGAATGTACTAGATACAGGTGGCTTTTGCTAAAAATATATACTTAAATAGAATCAAAGCTGAAACAATATTGCATACTTACCGGACGTATGTATAACTTATTTTCAGTGACATTAACATTTCGCTCCTCTGGTGTGTAAACCTGGAACTCCCAATTCTGAAAATATATTTGAAAAAAATTTAATCCGCTCATCCAAATTTCTTCTAACAACTAAACCTAAAAAATATATGTTTTCAACTATCTAAAATGTATGGACTGAATTACTCCCTCTCCTCTTACTAGTTAGATATTTGAGATATGTTCTGGATGGTCGTACTGGCTGACTGTTGGACGGACTGATGGATGGACAGAGGGCTTGCATGGCATTTGGATACTTTAATGGGAATGCAGTTTGTTCAATCAATAGAGAGTTTAAGCTTGCATATAAAACGAAATGCCAACCAAGTACCAATCACCCATACAAATACATCTCTTAAATATTTGCCGTTCACGTTTAGGTTGTGAAAAACATTGCAAGCTTAAACTCTCTAATACTGTCTTGAAATACTGCAACATTGCAACAATGACCCTGCATAATCCTATTCTTCTTTCAAAGATACATACCCCAGATCCACTGGCTGTGATTGCATAACCCCATGTGTTAGTATCAAAAGTTGAGAAGTTGTCATTTACAATCAGTTCCAGGTTTGTATTGTTCCATACAGGGGTATTCAGAGTGGGAGGGTGTATTGTAGAGATGTCAACTAGGGTAGGAGATGTCCTGGATTCTGTTCCAGTGATGTTTGAATTAGCACCTGTAAATAGGAAATTTTGTGATAAAGATAGCTAGAGGATATATTTATGCTTGACAGATCTTTCTGTTACCCTAGAAACATGCTGAAAAAATTAAGATGCCATAGTTTATCATGGTGAGAACATACAAGAAACAAGAAACTCAAATCAAAAATAAAACTTGAAGTTATAAATAGATACCATGAATATGTCAATGTACTTTTGAGTTTTTTAATGTAACTTCTTGTCACCTTTTTGATATCCAGCTAATCTGAAAAGAGTACAATAATGTCATTTCTGCGGGCAATATAGTGAAATATTGGACTGGGGCCGAAATTATTATAAGTATTATTACCACCGTTAATGCCAAGGGCTGAAATAGCAAGAAAATCTGATGCACTGAATGGTATCTAATTTCCCAGGGAAAATTGCCAGTCATTAATGCATTATTGACCGGCAATATTGCCCGCCACTATGATATCACATACTGCCAGGTCGATGTAGTAAAATAAATGCCTTCAAAAGTAGCACTAATACCCCTAGAACAGGCCCAGTAAGGTGGTAATAACAGAAATCAGTTTTACCTTGTTTACTTTTTAGTATCACCACAGTAGGAATAACAATAGTGGCTGTAACTATACACATCACCATGACAACACATAACACCGTTAAAATCTTGCATTTTCTGGAGAAATCCCTTTTATATGTTTCTTTCCTTTTCAGGCTTTTTTGACCAATATTATATGGGTCAATGACTTCATAAATAGGTATGTCTGGTAAAAGCATAGTTTGTCTCCCTTGTTCTTGTTTTTGAGGCATGGGCCTTATGTCATACTCATCACTCGGAATAAATGTTATTTCTGTTTTTGGAGGCATTGATCTGAGCTTACATGTGAAGGATGTCGAAAAATTATTTCTCAGATTTGATAAAAAGCCTCTTTGTGGTTTTGTTGCATTTTCGACATCTTGGAATTTGTTCAATGCTTTAACTTCATTTTGTGATAAAGTCAAAATTTCATCCCCCGTTCCCAACTGCTCTGATTGGTCATTTTCATTTTGCAATGCATTAAGAGAGACTTTGCAGTTTTCATCAATTCTTCCCATTGTAAGATAATCACTTCTTCTTTGTGTTATTATTTCACGATTTTGTGGTTCATTTATAGAATGGGCCTCATCTTTTGAGGTAGAAATATCTGTTTCATTTTCGCTCCCTTTCATACAACCTACGTTTGGATGAAATGATGGAAGTCTTAAGTTTCCATCCATGATTTCAAGAATAGTTGCTAATTCTACCTCAATGTATCAACTTGGTGTTCAGACAGCTCTTTGTTGCTCTGGTCCCTTCTATTAATATTGTCACGGGCTACCTCTTACTGGTGATGACATTCTTCTTCATTGATCATAGATAACTGTAAGATAATCACTACTTCTTCGCCCAATTATTCCATGATTTTGTGATTCATTTATAACTCGTCTCAGTTCTAATTAAGTAGAAGTTCTGTTTGTAATCATACTGTGGTTACATGCAATGTCTCACACACTTAAGAAAGTACCCTTAGCAAAAGTTTTGGGTGTCAGGATTTTCAAAGCATTGAAACTGTAAGATCTGGTATTGTCAGAGGCTATTGCATATCAGGGTAATAGGAAATGACTCTCCTCCAGAGATTGAGTTACAAACTTATGACCTCAGAATAAGGAGGATATCAATGTATTGAAGATTTTCAGAAAACTATAAATAGCCACAATGTCTTGAGTTTTTAGTTACATTTATTTGTGAATGATATATGAAACATTAAAAGTGTGCATCATGTTTTTATTATCTCAACTTTTTATATCTGTTGAGGCATACCAGTTGTTTTTTCCAGGCAAACCACTTGATGGTTTGGTTTGGAATTTTCTGGGATGCTTCTTGGAATGATTTTCTAGACCTGATTAGTTTGTTGACATGCTGGGTGAATAATATGTTAGCCATTCTGAATTTTTGAACAAAAATTTTAAGGTTCTCAGTTTAGAAATATTTTAGGTTTGCCTCATCAAAATTCTTCCCACTGGCTCAGTTTTCTCATTCTGCAATATTATAGTTACAATGTTGTAAACAAGTCCCTTGTTTATTCATTCATTCATTTTATTTTCTATTTAATTTGTGACATGTCATCCTAATCCCATTAACCTGGAAAGATAACCTGATCTCATCAACTATATTGCTGGAAACTGATATATTCCCTTTTGATGCCTAAAAGACAGCTTGATGTTTTCAGAGTATCTGCTATAGTATTTTACCACAGTGGTACTGAAAATTGACCTTTTCATTATCAATAGAAAACAGCCCTCATGTCCTGTACATTGTCAGGGCCTCATACACAGGACCTTGTGGTGTCTTATCCTCTACCCTGTTAGCCCTTATACCATATACTGTATCTTATGTGGCCTCATACTTATATTGTACTTTATTGGACCTTATACATATTTGTACCTGGTGAGGCCTTACATGCACTGTACCTTGTGAGGCCTCATGCATATCTGTACCTTGAGTGGCCTTGTACATATATTGCACCTTGTGGGCATTGAGGCCTCATACATTTTCTGTACCTTGCGTGGTCTCATACAGCATACATCTGTATCTGGTAAGGCCTTATACATGTTCTGTACCTTGCTGGGCCTCATGCATATCTGTACCTTATGAGGCCTCATACATGTACTCTTGTGTGTCCTCATATATAACTACCTTAAGGGCCTCGTGCATGTACTGTGCCTTATAGGCCCTATACAGGTATTGTACCTTGGGGGGACTATACCATCTACCTTATATTTTTGAGTTGGGCAGAGGCTTTAAAAAAAGATCTCAATAAACCCAACATTGAATTTGGAACATATGACTTCTCAAAAACATAAAGCATAAAATAACCATTAATCTTAATACCATGTTTTTGAGTGAATGTCTAATCATGTATGTTTTGTGATTCCAGTGCTGCTGACCTGTATATCAAGGACTATTTCCACCCCTATATAGAGAAAGGGCACAAAGAAGCTAAGCCACTTAGAATAGTGTTTAAAGGTATGGGTCTTGGTATCTCAACATATTATAAATGAAACATTTTTTCATTCCATAATAATTTTGGTGTCCTTTAAGCCCTGTATACCACCCTATGTTTACAGAGTGAGCAAAATGACAAGGGTGTGAGTAATGCCGATAGAGGATACCAAGTTCTACAGCTGATTAACTTTTAGGTGGACATCTTGTTTTCTGGTGGCCATATTGGAAATTTTTCAGTAAAACCTCATGATTCCAGGAAAAAAGCATTAGATTTTCTTCAGATTTGTAAACATGACGAGGATATCAAGTTCTAGTCATATGTTAATGCCTTGTGTGTCTGTTTGATGGTATGGTTTTGTTTATGTCTTGGGGCTTGTTTTTCTCAGGGGTCTGGGGAATAATTGAAATGGTTGAAAAAATGACAAACACATTGAAAAAGACAAAATTATGCAACGATTGAACCAAAGGACAAAATTGAAATGGTTGAAACATACTCGTATGTCATAGTCCGTATGAATACCAGGCCCGTAGCCAGGATTTGCCAAGGGGGGTTCACTTTTTGAAAAATCTAGGAAGGGGGTTCACTTGTGACAATTTTGGTCCAAAAAAAAGTGCTCAGAATGTTGAAAATCTGCATGACTTTTAAAGATTTTTTGGCCAGGGAGGTTTCGCTCGAACCCATCGAACCCCCCCCTGGCTACGGGCCTGAATACAGAAAATTTTAAGTGTTGCCGTTTTGTTTTGATGGTACCTATAATGAATTATTATGAGATATGGGAGTAATCAAAGTAAGCATGCTTATAAAATGTTGTTCAGTGTGAGTGGTATTGCTTTAATCAACAGTTTGTTATCAAGTGCTTTAACAGAACACCAGTATATGTGCACACGTAAGCTTAAATGTTTATTTTAAATTTTACAATATTCTCACTTATTTTTAGATAAGAAAATATAAGATCCTTTAAGTAATACATTGAATCATATAGCCATTTTGAAATTGTTGAATGCTTTGATCATTTAATGTTCTTTGTCTATTTCCTATTTTTCTTGGTATTCAGTATCTCAATGCATTTTAATGTTTTTCTATGTTCAACATTAGAGTCAAATTATGAGTGCAAGATTTCTAATTGGTCATTTCATTTTTAAGCAGCAAGTGTAGACTCTACAACTACGTACATGCAAGATAGATCATCAGTTGATTATCAATTGTTCTATAAGCATCAATGGTTATAGTGTTTTGGTTAATGTTCCAAGCTTTGCATCAGAGCCATTTTACAAGGGACTCCTACTTCTTAGGTGCAGTGTACTTGTCACTTGTCGGATTCTTCTGGTTTCCATGGTTATCCAAGTCCGCCCCGGTTCCTGTTCCAGAGTAACCTTTCTCATGACCCCCATATTTAGGATTGTTTGGGTTGCACTGGTCGGCTTTGTTATCTTTGCCTTGCTGATCCATTTTCTAGAAAAATAAATAATAGTGTTGTCTTGCATTAAGTTTGCATACAAGTTCCTTCAAAACTTCTACTAAAGCAACAAAGTCATATCAGAGGAGTTGATATGATTGAAGGGCTACTCATAAATTATTGTTATTTGCAAAATGCCATCCCATGTAAAGGTTGCTCATAAATTAATGATATTGGCAAGTTCTTAGAAGTCAGCTAAATAAGGGTTGCCAATTAACGGTAACAGATTTGGAAGAAATTTTCAAAATGGTCACTGAATTCAAAATGGCCTCCCTTTTTCAAGAAATTATATTTTTTGATAACTGGATTTGGTCCATAATTTATAAGCTAGTGTCTTATGAGAATAGGACCTGTTAACTATCTGTTCGAGAAGGAATTTCTAATATGGCTGCCTAAATGAAATGGATGGTCATGTTCAAAATGATAACATGATTTTATTAAATATGTTTTGTTTGGTGAGATTTGCTATATTTTCTAGTTGAATACCATATGAATAGAAGGGTTGTTACCAAATTCAGCCACCCAAAGATTATAACATGCAAGCAGTTATTGTAATAAATGTATTGTTTTTACACGCCGAAAAATCAAACATTTTAATAAAGAATTCAGTTTTTGCCAAATTATTGAATGCTTACGCAATACATAATTCAAAATGCACATTATTCCACTTTATTTCATAAAATTTATGTTATTTTTAAATAATCCCAGTTTGGAAAATTCCAATTTCTCAGAGCTCAATATTGATTTGATTTATCAAAATGAATGTTACAATAAAATGAATATTATTAAAATGTTGGGACATGTGTAAAGATTTTTCATTTATAAATTCATTTAATAATTTCATTTAATCAGCAAATAAATGGATAAAGGGTTGCTATTATGGTGAACTGAATTGAACACATGTTTCTCTTAAACCATTTTTTTTTTTTTTTTTTTTTATTTATTTATATATTTATACAAAGAATACAGTAAACAAGTGCACATGTGCTTGTGGCTGGGCATCAGCATTATCAGCCACGTTATATGATGAAAATCAATTAACAGTATTCAATCAATTATTAAAATAGGGGTTGTATTTGTGGAGGGTTACAGTGGTGGGGGTGACCTAGACATTTTTACATCGTTCGAAAAAGATGGCACTACATTTGAGGATATTTAAGTTTACAGCTTTAGGTAGCCTTTTATCGCCATTGAGGATAAGGGAGAGTTTGTCTCGTTGTGATCTATATTTAGTAGAATATTCTATGTTCATATTTTTTAATTCATTTTCAAATTCTGTCCAAAATGTTGATCTTAGATTACAGTGAAAAATTACGTGATTGGTTGTTTCACCATCTATTCCACACTGGCAAATGGGGGAGTTTATATTAGTGAAATTGTGAGCGTAAAGGTGAGCCTTAAAAATGAGATCACAGCGCACTCTATTGAAAATTATTTCTTGTTTTCTTGAAACGGAGAGATCTGATGAATTTGTAACATCGTCATTGAATAGATCTATTTTAAGTCTGGATTTGAATATACTAAGGGTAGGTAAATTTCTTATTTCAGGTGAAAGCTTATTCCATTCAGTCAGTGTTTTTGATATGCAAGATCTATTAGAAAATGAGGATTTATTAGGAATTGTGTAGCTCAGTTGATTTCTTAGGCCATAAGCATGGTTTCTTTTGAGAGGCTCAAATATGTTAAGAACATAAGAGGGCTGCATATTATTATGTGCCCTATACATGAAAATGCTTCTGTGATATTGACGCCTCTTTGTTAATGTTGGCCAATTTAAATTATTCAACACTTTAATTGTCGAAGTCCCATGTAGAGTACCTGAACAAATGCAAGCGGCTTTATAGTAAAGTCGATCTAATAACTGTAATTTTGTTGTGTTTGCACACCCATATAGAATATCACCATAGTCAAAAAGTGGCAGGATAAAAGATTTAAAGATTGTTTCGAGATGTTTTCCATTTATTTTCTGACAGAGCGCTTTCAGTGGATTTAAAAGTTTGTCTATTCTTGCACCAAGTTCAGTTATGTGGAGGTCAAAAGTGAGATTTCTGTCTAGGATTAAGCCTAAGTGCTTATGGCTGTTTACTCTTGGTATAATGTCGTTTCCGAGAGAAAGATCTATGGTCAAAATTTCACGTTTCTTTGGATTGCAAAAGGTCAAATCTTTGCTTTTAGAAGCTTTAAAATTTAATTTCCATACTTCAGACCATTGAAAAATATGGTTGAGATCCTCCTGTAGGGCATTGTTCATTTCAGTTGCTGTTTCAGCTGTGAATGACTGGTAAATTGAGGTATCATCTGCGTAGATGAAACATTTTGAATTCAAATTGTCAGGTAAATCATTGATATAGATCAAAAATAAGAGGGGCCCCAGGATCGAGCCTTGAGGAACTCCGGAATTGATATAACCCTTTTCAGATAAGTTTGACTCATGACCATCTAATACCACCTTCACTTGTCTGTGTAGTAAATATGATTTCATCAATTCCAGGATATTCGGACCAAAACCAAACATTTTCAATTTTCCTAATAGTAGCCCATGGGGCATTGAATCAAATGCAGCCGAAATATCAAGATATATCCCTCTTACATTAGCCCCATTTTCAATTTCATTTGTTATGTGGTCAATAATACTTAGAAGTTGTGCCTGTGTGCTATGTCCTGGCAGGAAACCACTTTGAAGATTGTAAAATAAATTGTTAGAAATGAGATGATCAAAGAGTCTTTTAAAAATAATGCGCTCGGCGACTTTAGAAATACAAGACAGGAGTGTTATTGGGCGATAATTTTTCACATCTGTTTTATCTTTGTTTTTATGAATAGCTACAATATGACCGACCTTCCATAGTTGAGGATATTGATTCAAAGTAAACATTTTGTTAAGCAGTTTTGATAAAATAGGTGAAAGTGATGGTGCTGCCATTTTTAGCATTCTATTACTCAACATGTCAGGGCCAGTGGCTTTATTAATATCTAAGCCGAGTAGAATGTTATAGACTTCTCTGTCATTGGTAGAGAGCAGGTCAAATGTTATATCGGTTCTTGGAATAAATGGTTCATTTCCATGATTATAATTATTATGGTATTTGTCAATAAAATGTGATAACAATAAATTTGCTTTGTCGCAACTATCAGTGTAATTATTACCATTGGCATCGTTGAGGAGGGGTATTTTACTATTTTTTGATTTGCCTAGGAGCCTACTAATAATTGACCAGTACCCCTTACTTCCATATCTATGAGTTGTTAATTTTTGGTACAATCTTGATTCCATTGCCTCTTTCGCCTCACTTATAGCCTCATTTACCAGTTTACATTGATCTGTATATTTTTGAAGGTACATGTCATTATGAGTTTTTCTATACTTATAATGCAATTTATTTCTTTTATTAATTAATGTTTTAATGTCACTTGTGAACCATGACTTGTTAGTATATTTTACAACAATTTCTGAGTTTGGAATGAGGTCTGTGAAAATTGCAAGTAGACTTCCAGAAAATATTTTGATAAGGTCATCAAAGTTGTTGTTAGTGTCTATTAAATGATCAAAATTTGCCGCACGGA